ATACTTTTAGGTACTTTTCGTCCCATTGAGCTGCGACACTTACTTTGCTCCATGCGCCGTCGCACGCTCGAACCTTTTTTTAGCAACTTTTCATGTTCTCCTTTTTATCACCCGCCATTTTGAAAAAATATCGTTGCGCACAATTTCGATAGATCTTTCGAAAAGTACGGTTTCAAAGCTTTCAAACCGTTTTTGAAATTTGCTGCTAGGATATTTAGGTGTCGAGATATTCAATTTCTAATTTGCAACAAATGTCGATTCAGCGAGGCTTAAGGGGCTAAGAGGCTCTGCGGTTCGTTTGGCTCTTTCATAATTTCAATAGCTGTGTTCATGTTTCTCTATATAATAATTTACAAAACTAGCACAATATATTCAATGATTTGCATTTATTATTTTGAAAGCCAGGGAAATGAAAGTAAAATTCAATTTAGGTTCTTCATTTTGCGTAATCGATATTACGTAATAAAGATGAATTGCGTTTTAAGATACCGCTGTCATTAGCTCAAATTATGGTTGTAAGTCTTCCCAATATAAACCGCATGGAGTTTTACTGGTAGGAAAAGTCCCATTGTATGTAGTGTGTGTGTGTGTGTGTGTGTGTGTGTGTTTGTACACCACAAGGATAAGGACCCCGTGGTTCGTCAGCTCCACAGTATTTCAAGATTTCACACCCTCCTTGTGGTGTGTGTGTGGTGTTACAGCAGAGATAAGGACCCCGCAGTTCGTCACTCCTGCAGTAATTAATGACTCCAAACCCTCTCTGCTGTGTGTACTAATAGTGGGTATGACCGCCTCGTGCGCGTATTACCTCATTCATACGATCAGGCATACTCCTTATTAGTCTTTTAATTTCATCCTGCGTAATTGTATTCCATTCGTTTTCGAGAATTATTCGCAGTTGCTGAGGAGCAGGTACGTGATTTCATACTTTCCTGCCGAGGTTGTCCCATAAATGTTCGATTGGATTTAAATCTGGACTATTTGCTAGCCAATCGAGTCGATTTATGCCAACTTCATCGAAGAAATCAAGTACTCTTCTCGCAGTGTGTGGTCGAGCATTGTCTTGCATAAACAAGAAGTTCTCTCCGATGAAGGGTGCGTACGGAACAACATACGGAATGAGTATGTCTTCCACGTATACATCTGCGTTCATATTCTTGTCAAAAAAGTGCAGATCTGTATGAGCATTAGCTGAAATTCCTGCCCAAATCATTACAGAACCTCCATTGTAGCTATGCCTCTCACTTACTGTACAGTCTGCAAATCGTTCTCCACCGCAACGATAAACTCGTTCTCGTCCATCTGGAGAATAGACACAAAAACGAGATTCATCGCTAAAGAGTACTTTGCTCCAGTCTGCGTAAGTCCAGCTCTGCGTAAGTCTATGCTCAACTGCAAAATTGAGTCGAGCTACGCGATGGTGACATTTAAGCAAAGGTACAGCTGCTGGCCTGCGCGAAAGCAGATTTTGTTCCTTTAATCTTCTCCGAACGGTGTTAACGGATACATTAATGTTGCGGACATCCCTTAAATTGTTTCTAATTTGAACAGATGTTCGATGTCTGTCTCTTAACGAATTTGAAACAATAAATCGGTCATCATTGTGATTGGTACATCGAGGTCGTCCCAGGCCTTCTATGGAAAGAATTGGTTTGTAAGTACCTGGCATAAGCACGTTGCACAGTTGACACTGACAAATCAAGTGCCTGAGCAACGTACCTTCGACTTCTGTCATCTTCAATTAAAGCAATAACTTGAGCAGCCTTTTTAGGATTTATCGTCGCCATAATCGACGCAATAATTTCGATGCGAAACAATCAGTTATGGTTTAAATTGATGAAGTTGCACGGAAGCAACGCGCCTCGAAAGGAAAAGATCACGGAAAAAGAAAAGTCGCACGAGGCAGCGCTTATCGGAGTGAACATGTTCGGAAAAGGAAAATTGTTTGTCTTTGTTTATTGTCTTGGCACATACATTTAAGAAAAATCCAGTCAAGCCAGGCGTTAAAGCCCGGCGCACCGACAGAATCTCAGTCAAGCCAGAACGTAAGCCCGGCGTAATGACAAACTCGCGAAGTCCACCGTACAAGAGATAGTACTACTATCGGCGACCGAACGAAGGCCAAAAGCTGTACGAAGGCAATCTCTGATCGTCTCCGCGGGCACTCTTATATGCCCTGGGCAGCTCGAACTCGCGTGCGAGCCGAGGAGCTCGCGCGCGCAACAACCCAGATCGCCGCGTCGCGGCGGCTCCGTGGACTAGGAGCGCCAGGGAATTTCGACGTTCAGGTGGCGTCCAGCGACTCGGCATCCCGTGCGCCGGGTCACCGCGAACTCAGGCGCGATCCTGAACAGCATATGCAAGCTGTGTACCATAATGGCCAATCGTACGAAGAAGGTAGAGAGCTAGGGACAGCTTCGCGAACTAAAGTGTATACCACAGTGATCATGCGTAACTGAAGGGTAAAGAATGATAACTTTTGATAAAAATTAAATTTCCAATTCGCAAAATTGTGTAAATTATTGTATAGAGAATAATGAACGCGGCTATTGAAATTATGAAAGAGCCAAACGAACCGCAGAGCCTCTTAGCCCCTTAAGCCTCGCTGAATCGACATTTGTTGCAAATTCGAAATTGAATATCTCGACACCTAAATATCCTAGCAGTAAATTTCAAAAACGGTTTGAAAGCTTTGAAACCGTACTTTTCGAAAGATCTATCGAAATTGTGCGCAACGATATTTTTTCAAAATGGCGGGTGATAAAAAGGAGAACATGAAAAGTTGCTAAAAAAAGGTTCGAGCGTGCGACGGCGCATGGAACAAAGTAAGTGTCGCAGCTCAATGGGACGAAAAGTACCTAAAAGTATAGAATGTTTTCTTTAAAATACTTCGTTGTAGAGCTTGATGCGATACTTATTCACTGAATTATGCAAATTTAACAAGAAAACCGCATTTTTAGCAAAATTTGGAACAACTCAGTGAAAAATGATCACATCGAGCTCGGTAAAGTAGCATTTTAAAGATAACACTCTATACTTTCATGTGCATTTGGTCCCATTATGCTGCGATACCTGATGCACACCATGCACCATCGCAAACACGGACCTTTGATTATCAATTTTGCATCCTCTCACTTTATCATCCGCCATTTTGAAAAAAATGGCCGAGCATAATTGCCATTCAGATATTCTTAAAAAGGACGTTTCAAGCTTCATTTTGCATTTCTGCGCATATTTGTATCTTCATTATTTACCAAATTATGATCATTTGAAATTTTGTAATTTTTTCCCAAATTTTTAGTGTACCGGGTTTTTTGCGTTTGAGTGTACAAGAACTGTCAGCGAAGATAGATTGGCAGAACATTGGGATTTCTCAAATTTTGCACGAGTTTCCCGATACCGATTGTTTTAACCGACTTGAAGGGTTCCCCTCCTTGCCACTAGAAACTGAGGAATCTTTTACAGGCTTTGATTGTTATTTAGATAATAAAGTAACATATTCTATGGTCATATGGTGAGTTCTCTATCATCATTCATAATGTAAGTACTATTATATGTTCATTGAGTACTTTGATTGACTTTTTCTGTGTTGCAGCTTAAATATTTGTTACGAAAGGGGAAAGGAGAGACAACCTCTTTCTTCACTTACTTTATTTTGTCGAGTCTACTCAGAAATAATCTGGCACGGTTCATTAGTTGGAAGGGTTCTGGAAGGATCAAGCTCAGTTTTGAGAAATTCAAAGTAAAAAATCTAGTAGAAGGTAAATGAATATCATATTGCTTTTTAAAAAGTTTTTAAAAATTTTTAAAGTTTTGAAAAATTTTCTAACTTTTTAACTTTGCTTTTTCCATATATAAACATGTACATAAATGTGCACATAATATATGTATATTAAACCTCTTCTTTATTTTTCTCAAATAGATGTTTGCTTGAAGAAATTTTCTAACATACAGATTTCGGTATTTGAAGAGATTTCGTCATATGAAATGATGGTTCAATACTTCCATGCAACGATCAGACTAAATTAAGTTCTTTTTTGGGATCTGTTTACATTTTTAAAGTGCAAAATATTTGTAAGTTAAACTGGCTGTGTCTATGTTTGAGATCTTCTTTAATTCTTTAATTCTCCCAAAATTTAATTAATAAATAGTATTTAGAGTTATTAGATTTTGAAAACTATACTGAAGTTTCTTTGTTTTTGGAAAAAGTGATACTAATAGTTTTTTCAGATTTTCTTTAATATTAATATAGTTTACTAATATAGTTTATAATTTCTTCTTTAAGAAATAATATATATTATACATACTATGTATTACAAACGCACTGTAATAAAAAATAATTATAATTATTTGTCATTGTTATCTTATCACCTATAAATTACTGATACTACTTTTGCGCAATATTGAATACAACGGTATGTATTAGTCACAATGACATCAAAATGACGTCCAATTATAATCATTTTTATTCCCGGTTTGATGTCATAGTGACTTCTGCTGTTTTGATGTTTCTTGACGTCATTTTGATATTATCATGACTTTTTGTTCTCCTTGGGTAAAGCTAAGATAGACTCACTGTTTTTGCTAAAGGCTCGTCTACATTAACTGTAAGAATAAGGCTGTAAGGTTGCAAGACACGAAATGAAATATTTTCATTCGCTGACAGCTTACTTTACAGCCTTACAGCCTTACTCTTACAGCTATTGTAGACGAGCCTTAATGGTTGCTTCCAGCAAGAGATATTTTTCATTAGTTAGATATCATCTAAAGATGACACCAAGATGATATCTAGCCATTGAAACGACTGTGTATCTCTTGTTGGAAAGCAATCAATGGTTACGTTCAGAAAACAAAACGCTCACTGAGCGCTTAGTAACTATTGACCCTCACTGTTAGATCCTTACATTCAGACCAATAATGTTGACTAATCACTCAACTGTTGTGTAACCGTTGTGTTTTCTGAACGCAGCCAATGAAAAATTGCCAAAATTTAATGGATGGGACGTTCGCAAAAAGTTTGAATAATGAAATGCTTTTTTAGTTTCAGTTTTTTTAATTTTCACGAATCTTTACAAATATAAAGTTTAATTATTTCTTATGACAATGTATCTCTATATTACATAAGTTTAAGTCAAGATTCGTCGAATGTCAAAATAATTAACAAAGTTCCTCAAAATGTACCATATACACATTATTCTATTTGAAATGATGAACTTTCCTCTTTAATTTATAAGTGAATCGGATTGCAATTTTTTTCACCGAATTATTCAACGTTGTAGCAAGAAAACGTTTCTTCTGTTTTAATCGCTTATCGAGAAGTGAACGACGTCCATTAACGAATAAATAGAAATTTATATATTTTCTTATTAAAATACATTTGTAGAGAGCGTTTCTTATGCAAATATCTTTCTGTTGAGAAAACATTTGGCACAACATTTTTCACACCATAGTGCAGGAAATCCAGCTAAAGGTGGCTAAAGAGAATTAACCTCTACCGGTCTCTTGGACTCTTGGAGCGTACAGTGTTTAGTTTGCCCGCGATTTGCATGATACTGATCAATCGTGCTAGTGATATCCATTATATTTTTGCAAATTATCACATAGATCGTTACGCTGTATAAATCGCTATGACTACTTCGGTCAGCACGAATCCGTCTACATTGTTGCCTTTAGGTAAGACAATCTGTTCTACTCCAATTTCGTCAAATATACGATTCTAACCTTAAACACATGAATAGCTGAATGGACATTTTGTATTGACAAACATTTACGCTTGCAGAATTGGTGGATAAATGCATCGGTTCCCGAATACACATCATCATGAAGAACGATAAGGAGATTGTCGGCACTTTGCAAGGATTCGACGACTTTGTGAATATGTTACTGGAAGATGTGACTGAGAGCGAAGCAACACCTGAAGGCCGCAGAGTCACAAAGTTGGATCAGATTCTCTTGAATGGCAGCAATATTACAATGGTACTGCAATAATTTTATGTTTTATTTTGGAAGTATTAAGCCTGAATTTTGAAGTATTGGATTATATATATTTTCTACAGTATAAAATAGAACACAGGATAAAAAGAGGACACAGATCCTTATAATTTATTTCTCAATTTATTTCTTTATCCTATTGCAGTTGGTACCTGGTGGTGAAATGCCAGATACATAAAGGAAACTGTATGCCATATCCAAACCATCATTATAAGACCACGAAAGCAATTATCTAACAGCAACTACTGCAAGTAAGACATGTTTCGTGCTTAAAAGATAATTTCAATAAAATAAATGTTAACAATGAAGCAAGAGGTCGAGTCTGTTGATTATTTCACCGAGCTTAGGCCTTTCTGCAGCATTCTGCGACCATGTTGCTCTATATAATTTTTTGTAGCCTCCATTGAACTCGTCATCCAGAGCCTCGTCATTAGGGCGTGTTCCTTTTGCGGAGATGTATATAATTGTATGGATGTGTAATCCATGGAAAGGCACTTGCCGAGACAACATTTGCCATGCTACAATTCCTAGCGAATAAATGTCAGCAGTGAATGTAGGTGCATTTCCTCTGAGCATCTCCGGCGCTGCATAGCCTGGTGTACCCTAGCGGGGACAGACAGAAAGTACCCATGAGAAAAAGAATTCTATCAAAATCTACTATTGTCTACACATGAGAATCTCGAAAAAAAATGCAGAAGATCCTAATTCGTTTTGCGAATTTCTCGGTCACGAGTTTGCCGGAAAATATTAGAAGCTACTGAAGATAGGAAAAGCTATTTCGTGTAAGAGATTCAACGATCGTGTATGCATACTCGCGGCTTGATAGAAATGTGCAGTTCATCGAGCAGGAGAGAGCTACCGAAATCAGTGAGTTTTGGTCGACCGTCAGCTGCCATCAGGATATTGGTCGGCTTGACGTCCGCGTGTATCACGCCAGAATTGTGGCAGAATCGGAGCGCGTGGGCGATATCTCGCCAAATGGAGACACGCTCCTGCCTCGGGAGAACTGTCTCCTGCAGCTTGTCCTGCAATGACGTGCCGCACAATTCCATCGTTATCAACGATAAACTACTGCCCTGTTCTACGTTCAATATCTTCACGATGTTGGCGTGCCGCAGGATCGCCGCATGCTTCTCCGAGTTGATCAGTTCGTCGTCGTTTTGCCTGTGCTGGATCACTTTCGCCGCCACCTGATCTCCTGGAGAGAAGAACGATGTGTAGCAACAGCAAAATGCAATTAATTTATAGCCTTATCGCCACATTCATGAGAATTCCGGGAGATTGAATTCAATGAGGAGACTCATCGTTAAAAAGATAGTCGAAAACTCTATCAAGAGAATGTTGATCTCTTGCGCAAAATTTACTTCACACTGGTCCCATGAAATTACAAATGCTTTTGTACGATGAAAGCACTTGTAGAAATAAGTCGGAACATTGTTCGATATATAATGAAAATAAAAATATAAAAATGTGTAAAAACGAATTAAAGATTTGCCTGATGCAGAATTTTTGCAGCTTGCATATCGAACGTATGTTTACTCCGCTCGAGAAATTTCCAAGAACACTGAGTTTTATCTTTTCGCAATTAAATTTCGAAGCTTAAAGATATACAAAAAGTCTGCAAAACCATTTCTATATATGTGTAGTTACGTTTTTTTACTAAAACTGATAAAATAGAGCAGCATACATCTAATTGAGTTTATTGGCTTGTTCGATAAGCTTATAAGTATTTCTGCGAATAGTTCAAGCTTGATACTTTTATAGTTGGACATAACTTTGCTCAATAATATATTGGCTGGAAAGAATTGGCATTCTTTCAGTATAGCAGAAAGTCATACGAAAAAAATGCTTCATTATCAGTTTATCAGTTTCAAAGTTTTCATGGAAATCCCTACGAACTTATCGAACAATCTAACATATCCAGCAAACGCAACAGCATACAACAGTTACATTATCGTAATATGACGAAATGTAACATATAAATGCAACGTAATAAAGTATCTAAGTTGCGAGTAACATACATGTCAATTGTAATTTCTCACACATACAAAATTGCAGTTATATAACATAAATATAATATATCGCTAAAATATTACACGACAGTTATTTTATAAAAATATGTTATAGGTTATTTTTTAAATAAAAAATGATATTTTTAGTTAGTAAAATAATATAAAAGATATTTTGTCACTCTAACTTGATCAGTTACTACAATTTATTCACTCCCATAAAACCATAAATGATATTTTCAGTGGAAAAAATTAGTGATTACAATTATCTTTTATCCAAAGCACCACTTCTCACTTTCTAAGAGTGGACTCCACAATACAAACTTCATCTGCGATCACCGTTCGCATCTAAGTTAAAATATATCATATTTTATGTATAAAGAACAGAAGTCATAACGGATTATCTGACATTCATATACAAAAGATATTACATAGAATATTATACAAATACTTATAGAAGTAATGATAACACTACACTTGTTATACGACGTGTCATGTATAAGTTACGTTGCTATCATAATTCAGAAATGACAAAATAATATAATAATTTTTAAACACAGTTACATATTATGCCTACAAAATTGTGTCAATTGTGTTACGAAGGCAGTCTGAAAAGTTCTCGGCCTGACACATAGATGACATTAGAAATTGTCAAAGTATAATTGTATTGGAAAGTGGCATCCCTGATATAAACCCATGTAAAATTTTATTTCGATCTGTCAAGTCATTCGAGTAGTAGCACCAGTTTAATATTGACGTGTCATTGTCTTTTTTAAAATGGATAAAATTGAATATCGTGCAGTGATTAAATTCTTTGTTTTGGATGGTTTAACACCAACAGAAATTCATCCGAAATTGTTAAAAGTGTATAAGGATGCATCACCTTCACTTTCCACTGTGAAAAAATGGGCTGCTCTTTTTAAATCTGGTCGTACAAGCCTCGAAGATGATCCACGCGAAGATTGTCCAAAAACTGCTACAACACCACAAAATATTCAACAAGTCCATGATATGGTGTTAGATGATCAGCGAGTGAAAATGCGTGAAATAGCTGAGGCCATAGGCATCTCAAAAGAACGAATTGGAAATATTTTGCATGAAGAATTACATATGAAAAAGCTTTGTGCAAGATGGGTGCCGCATTTGCTAACAATTGACCAAAAACGCATTCGAATGCGTATTTCTCAAGCGTATTTGGATCGTTTTAAGCAAAACGGAAAATGGATTTCAAGCGTCGTTTCATAACTGTTGATGAAACTTGGATCCACCACTATACACCAGAGCGAAAAGAACAATCGAAAACAATGGATTGAAGCAGGTGGACGTGCACCAAAGAAGGCAATGACGGTTCCATCAGCAGAAAAAGTTATGGCAACAGTTTTTTTGGGATTACAAAAGTGTTTTGTTGATCGATTATCTTCAGAAAGATAAAACGATTAACTCTGAATATTATTGTAACTTATTATTGTAATTTTGGATCTATTGGATGCAAAAATTCGTGAGAAAAGACCTGCTTTAAAGAAGAAAAGAATCGTTTTCCATCAAGACAGTGCACGTGTTCACACAAGTGTTTTGACAATGGCAAAATTCAACGAATTAAAGTACGAATTGCTTGAACATCCAGCGTATTCACCAGATTTGACTCTCTCTGACTATTATCTGTTTCCAAACCTGAAAAAATCCCTGGCTGGAAAGCGTTTTATATCAAATGACGAAGCTATTGCAGCCGTGGATGAATATTTTGCAGACCTTCCGGAATCACACTTTAATAATATGGTATTGAATTATTGGGAAAACGTTGGAATAAATGTATTGAAGTTTCAGGAGATTATATTAAAAAAAAAATATTTCACGGCAAAAAAAATTTTCTTTCATTGTTAGGCCGAGAACTTTTCAGACTGTCTACGTACCTCACTATAAATGAGAAATAACAGCCGTTATACTTCCCGCAAAAAAATAATTATATATGATTATCCAATCAGAAAAAAATCTTTAAAAAATGTTTCTTAAAAAGACATTTTTAAAATGTTAAAAATAATTTTAAAAGAGTTATTGGTATAAGATAAATATTAAATAAGCGTTAAATAAACGTTAAATAAAAAATCTTTCCTTAATCATTATTTTGAATGAAGAATTAATGTAAAATAAACGTTAAATAAACTTTAAATAAATTTCGACTCTATATGTTCACATATATAAACATACGTATAATTATATATATGTTCATATTGAAAAAAATGCTAATATAAAATATAATCAAAGCAACTGCTTAAGTTTATGGCAGTCCATGATTTACAATCGAACGAAGCAAATTCTTCTTTTCTCCATTTAACGGTGTTTTTTTCAATGTAAGAAATGTTTGTGAACATATACAGGGTGTCCTAACTTATCGATCTTTGAAAATTTTAAAATCATCAAATTAACAGAAGTCAGGGTACTATTGTAGCAATATATTTTTTAATAAATAGAGTAAAAAAGTCTAGTATCACTCTTTCTTCCGAGTACAAATAGCGAAATATCGTAAGTTAAATATTGGAAAAGTTATCAAGTTTTCCTTAAATATCTCGAAAAGTACTAGACAAATAAAGAAATGTTTCAGACAAAAGTTGTTCAAATTAATTGGTAGAAAAAGATGATATAATAAAAAATTGGAATTTCCATCTAGGAAAAGTAATGATCAATGAATATCTATATAAGTAATATCAGTGAATAAAAAGTGACACCATCTATAAATAAAATGATATAGTTATTTTATGTTCCCTTTGGAACTATACAACTTTTGTCTGAAATGTTTCTTAATACCTTTCATATTTTTTTAGATTTTTGCCTGGTTCACTTAAAATGGGACACTCTGTATGATTACGTATGTTTACATGTAACCATACAGAAACAATCCATGTATGGATCATATATAATAATATATACCATTTGTCATAATTATATATTAGATTCTAAGTATTTATATATAATTCTCTCTTTTCTTTCTGATTACTTGATCGGATTACTTTTACATTATATAGCAGTCATTCTGTTTGCTGGCTATATAGAAGAGAGACAAAAAGTGATTGTATGCCGATGCTTATCCGACATGATGTTTTAACGATCGTCTCTACCCTTGCAGAAAAGTATTGTTGGTTGTAATAAAATTGTCAGTTATAAATTATTGTCGCTCGGTAATTTTATTATTCATATGAGTACATTAGAATTACTGAACAACAATAATTTATCACTGGCCAATGTATATCACGGCCAGTAATACTTTTCTATGAAGGTTATCGACATTCTTGGAGTCCGTCATCCACTTTGGGATCCCCTTGACACGAGTCGAGAGCGGCACGCCGTTACCTTTGTAAAATGCCTTGTAAACGGTGCCAAAAGCACCCGCTCCCAACACAGGATATTGTTTCTTCGGCAGACCCTCCTTCAATATTTTCATTCTGTTGGGTGTGTCGATATTGAAAGGCGACAACAGCTTCTCATTGCCCGGCCTTCTCGCGAGGTTTCTCGGCGTCTTCGGACTTGCCGGCAAGAAGAGAAAGGTGAGGAACAAGCGACATCCCCGAGGAATTGCAAAAACGTCAGTCGTGGCTCGCGCGAGCGACCAGCGCGTTTCTTCGCTCACCTGACGTCCAATACGTTGTCGAACGATCGGGGCGACAGGCGCTTGAACGTGGACACTATTCGCGGCGAGGCCATTTGTTGCTGCGCTACCATTTATAATCGCCATAATAATTGCAAGAATAACGCGAGGTTTCCAATGAGACCGCGCTCTCGCTGGAGTATCCATTCACGTGCCACAATATACGCATCGCGCACAGACACTGACAAGGGAGCGAACAATGCGCGAATGTATATCGGCTATTGTGTACAGAGGCGTTATACGGGGTGTGCCGAAGTAATCTTGAGTGCACGTAGCTTGCAAGATTTTAGGGCTACATTTTTGCTCAACTTCGACTCGTAATCCGCAGGACTTTTTCGCACGGATCTGCTCGCTTTTCATGTCACCGATAGGATCATATGTATAAATTTTATTATCAAGCTGGCAAGAAAGTCATGTCATTTTTTTCTACGTAATTGAAAAGCGATTTTTTCATATAATACAAAATAAAAACTTTATTCTGTAATATATTGTTTAATTCAATGACCCTTTGCCATCTATTTGGTAGCTTCATGATTCCGGCCTCATAGAACTTCTGGTTCATATCGGAAGAACTCCAAGAACCAAGAACCGTTTGATAGCCTCATCAGAATCGAACTTTTTTTCCCTTCTAGGAATTTTACAAGGAGCGAAATAAATGGTAATCTGATGGTGCAAGATCAGGCGAATATGCTGGGTATGGTAACACATCCTACCCAAGCTGCAACAATTTCTGGCGAGTGACCAACGATGTATGTGGTCTAGCGTTGTCGTGATGAAAGACATCTTTACGATTTACCTTCTGGTTCTGGGCGCTTCCGCTTGATTGCTTCGTGTAATTTGTCCAATTGACGACAGTGCAATTTCGAATCGATCGTTTAATTTAACATTTAAGCAGTTCAAAAAACACGCTACCCTTGTAATCCCACCAAACAGATGGCAAAATCTACCTTTGGCGAATTTGTCTGCTTTAGAAATGCTTGGTGGCGGCTCATCACGTTTTCTTCACGATTTTTTTCGTTCCACCTTGTGAGCAATTCATATTTCATCGCCAGTTAACATTCGTTTCAAAAACGGATCGTTTTTGCTCACGTTTCAGGAGAGAATCGTTGATATTGATGCGTTTGGTGAAACGAACTTCTTTGAGCTCGTGGAACCCAATCGAGTTCGTTAACGTAGTCAAGTTGTTTGAAATGGTTTTCAATGCTCGTATGTGGTACGTTTAGCTTCTCAGCGATCTCCCATGTCATATAATGGCGGTTGGATTCAAACAATGCTTTTATGTTGTCGTCATCGATCTTAATCGGCCTGACCGTGGTGTGCATCTTTCACAGAAAAATCTCCTGAACGAAAATGAGCAAACCAACGTTGGCTTTGGCGTTCTGTTGAGGATTCCTCAGCATACACAGCACATAACTTTTGACGGGCTTGCACAGCGTTCTTTCCTTTTCCTTTTTCGAAGTAAAAAAGCAAAATATGGCGGAAATGCTCGTTTTAATTTTCCATTTTTAACTCAATGCCAAACAAACAATTCTTTGCCGAACGATGCACTTTTTTTTAAAAAAAGCTTGAAACGTCAGCTGTCAAATAATATAAAGGTTGTAGGATTTCGAATGAAGTTGGTTGCGTTTAATGAGTAAAGTAAAGCCATCTATCTGTGAAAAACGACATGACTTTGTTGCCAACCTGATATAATTATATATATAAATTATATATTATTGTATACGATCCGTGTACATAATCCATGTTTTGTGTTTAGATTTGCCCGATGACCTTGTAACTTGTAACGGTCTGACGTTACGTCCTTCTTTCTTCAAGGAATATTACATTGGTATGGAAGGCTCGTCGTATTCGTCAAACGTAACAGGGAATAAATTATCCAATTTCGAAAAATTAATCATTCTTTCTACGGATGAAACAAATAGCATTGACTCGGTGCTTCTTTAGATATCTAACGAAAACTTTTTATTTTCCTTTTGAGGCTCCTTTTTTTGTCGTCGCAGTCATCTTGAATAATGGCTCTAATACATACTCCGAAAATCTCTTTTTTGCCGAAGCAGTCAGCAAACAGGTGAAAAGTCAGGGCGACAAAAACATGAGAAAGGGGAGGTTGAAAAGGAAAGTTGTACGTCATGGTTAATTTTATGGTTATTTATCGCATGTGTTAGAACAAAAGGAAAATTGCCGGAGTACTTCAAAAATGTATGCTCAATCGACATTGCAAGTTTGATCTTACGGGTATATTTGTTTTATCTCGATGTAATCCCTAGGGAATTTCTAGCATGTAATTCCTAGGGGATTTCCTCGCCTTTGACGTCATCGATCAAATTAAGAACTCTAACACTCCAATCTTTTGCAAGAGAGAAACTGATAGAAAAAAATGACAAATTCTTTCTTCTTCTGCAGCAACATAACAACGGCCGGCGAGTTTGGCGGCGAGGTGTAAATGAGACAGAAGCGCGAAGAGCAATTAAAATACATTTTATTTCTTCGGTCGCTAATTTAAGGCGTAAATCAGCCACTGAGAGCTACCTATTGCTAATTATTATTATTATTATTATTCTCTCTCTCTCTCTCTCTCTCTCTCTCTCTCTCTCTCTTTAATACTGTACTTTAACTAAATTATTTACAATTACTCTATCGCACCGTAACAATATTCGCCTCGACAATTTCTCGTCACAACATAATACCAATGATATAGTGACGTGTGCACGTACATGCACGTGTGTGTATGTATATATGTATGTACGATGTGTACGTGTGCACGCGATATATCGATAATAGTCTACGGGTCGATTAGATAACGCTAATTAGAATCTGAGTTACAAAGTGGTTGCTAACATTAAGTGCTCATAGGTACCGTCTTGTTTCTGAGCGATTCTTGTTCGCTATCACAATGTTAAGTGTTACCTTCCCCCTCCCCCCCCTCTCTCTCTTTCTCTCCCTCTTTATCCTTATTTCTCTTTGTTGTTCTCGACTAATTAATTAATTAACAATCGGTAAATCTATAATAAGCGGAAACGACTTTACAGAAGTTTTTTTTTTAGTAAAATACTCTAACGAATGAAAATACGGTGTATCCTCTATGTATAATATGTATATATATATATATATATATATTTATATGTATATATATCTTTTTCTATTTATTTGAAAATAGTTCATTTAGTTAACTATAACACCGCCTCTCTCACCAGCCTTATTCCTTACTATAGTCCCGATCCGCTCTAATTATAGCGTCATCGATCGCTTGGTCTTACCTGAAACGTGCGCGTTCACGCGAACCTCATCCTCTTGCAGCTTTCGAGCAAATAACAGGTATTAAGAAAAAAAAAGATAAAGAAGTACAAGATTAAAATCGTAAGTGTGATCACTAAGTGAATAAGCTCGCGCGCAAATACCGGTCCGGTAGGAGGTGCGCAGTGATTCAAAACGTACGTAGAGATTTACAAGTTGATACAATAGAGATGAACGTCACGACGCTTCTTCGTCGAGTCGCAAGGATAATCTATCTACGGGCGCGAGAAAAGTTCACGAGACTCGAGAATCCGTGGATGTGTCTGGCAGATGTATAAAAATATGCAAGAATCTCTTTTCGCCGCTCTTTCCATTTCTCTCTCCCTCTCTCTCTCTCTGTCTCTCTCTCTCTCTCTCTCTCTCTCTCTCTCTCTCTCTCTCTCTCTATTTCTCTCTTTTTCTCCACTCAAGTGAATCGGCGAAGTAGTAAGTACACGTAGATGCGAGTAAGGAAGAACGTGTAGAAATTCCAGTGTACCTAAGTTAGTACCTAAGGATCTGATAGGGGATATGTGTATCACGCGAACGGGGGACGGGGGAGGGGGCGGAGCGACGGAGGGCGTAAGAACCGGAAGTTGGACTCGAGAGAGAGTGTGCAGGCGGAGGAAATTCTCCTTTCTCCTCTCGCCTTTGATTCGGAAAGATCGTCGTGTGCAGAATGTCGCGCTCTTTAAGGTCCAAGATCCACGCGTGGAAGGTCGTGGAAGCGACGAGCGAGCCGGAAGAGTCCGAAGAAGGTTTTCACAACGCGTACGTAGTCAAGCGCGTCTACGAAGGAGGATCTCGAAGGTCCACACGCTCGCGAGCGAGCAGCAGGAGGAAGTGGAGGAGGAATAGAGAGACGTCGCGGGCGGAGAGAAGCTCGACAGACACCCCGACGTGAGACAGTGGCGAACTCCTCGCACCGTCGTCAGACATCCCGACGAGCTCGAGGATCGAAGGAACTACATGTGTAACGTCCGCGGAAGGGGAGATGTGACGCGGGACGATTGATCCTCGCGGTCGTCGCCAGGGTTTCTCGCCCTCACGTGCGCGATATCTCGATTCTTTAGAGTTTGGTTTCTTCTTTTTTTTTTTTGGCACTCTATCCCTACGCGTGCCGTTACATTAACGTTTCCTGAGCATTATATCGTCGAGCGCAAACATGAGGCACTCAGAGGCACCGGTATCCCGTATAATTTCAAGAACGCAAACGTTATTCTAGCACTCATTAGGCATGCGCGAACAATTCAATCGCCTTGGAACGGGGAGCCGTGTTGTTTACACAGCTCTTGCACGCTACGAAGCGGCTGCGGAACCGAGTAGGGATGCCGATTTTAAATCAATTTAATTGAAAATCGATTAATCGGAGCCTAAAAGAGCGATTTCAAATCGATTTTCTGGAACTAAATTGATTCAAGGATCGATTTGTAAATTCTGAAAATCGCCAATACGATTTTTTCAGTTTCTACTAGTAGAATCGATCTGTTTGAAAAAAAAATCGGCATCCCTAGAACCGAGCGAGATAAGGCGAGAACAGCGAGCAGTTACCGGAAGGAAGAAATGACCGTTGAAATAAAACAAAGTTGTGAGACGACACGGTCGCGGAATGGAATAGGCACGGAAACGAGGAGCCGAGTTTTGACTTTTTGTTAACAATATCCACGTGGTAACTCTAATAGGAAAAATAATTATATGTAATTATATCTGTGAATTTTGAGTTTCCACACGGCTAGTCGCACGCGCAATTATACGTGTTCACAAGGAGAAATGCCGTTACGCGAATATAATTAAAGTGAGAGAAGAGAGCAGTTATCTCGTTCGAGTAACCGCTTATGTGTTTCTGGCAGCCTATGATATAGATTATAAATGTTTAATTGAACGAAACTACCTTTCCGCCTTCATTTTTAACAGCGTTCTTTTTCCGTGTGGACATGTACATGTATACGTGTGATTATATATGTGATCGTGTACACTCAGAGGCAGGTATAGTGTCCCTCGGCGATGTCGTATACGCCTGTAAAACAATCGAAAGCCATGACAGGCATATACGCATACGCATATGGGCGTACTGTACAGCGCGAGAGAAGCGAAGAGGGAGAAGTGGTGTGAGACGTTCCGATGTTGCATCCTTATCGCACGTCGCACGAACGAGAGAGAAAGCATTACCAGACGTGGTACGGTTAATGGTGTCCCCAATAGCTGTCTCACTCTCTCTACGCTTGAATGCAGGCAATATGAGTGAGACAGCTATAGAGACACCGCGCTGTCTCTATAGGTGTCTCGCTCGCTCTAATAGCCATATATCGCGCTTTCCTCTTTTCTCCTTAGCAGAAATGCCGATCAAGGAGGCAATCCTGTCTATAGGGCAGAAAAATAAGCTATTTTCGCGAATTTTTTTTTTCGGAAACTAAGCAGACGATTGATTTCAAACTTGATAAAAATAATAACATATATTTTATTGGTGAGAATGAATTTTTATAGCGTTATATGAATAATAATGTAGCAAATATACAAAAAATAACGTGACGTGTTTAGGCGCGCGCCGCTTCACGGTTCCTATAAAATCTCGAAATACGGTAGACTGGGACAAAAAGGCAAGTCAAATAATTAATCTACGAACTTGCCGCTAACTCGTTTGAATTAAGGAAATAAAAAACGAACTACTTTTTTAATATTTTAAGGCATTTAAAAATTATATTTGAAAAATCGTCATAAATACCGATGATTTTACGTTAAGAATATTTTATTTGAAGAAAACGATATTTCATGAAATTTATGAAAAAACTTATTTTATGCCGTAAGATATGTCAAATTGTGCAATTCTTTTTAGACGCAACATATCTTTACTTTTGAAAAGACTACGAGGAGGGAGAATAAATGCAACATCTTTCTTAAAATGCTACTTAAAATATAGGCTCCGCTCTTGAAAATATAAAAAGAAATTAGGAGACATTTAATAATAATAAAAATTACAATAATAATAACGAGACGCTATATAGCATCTCCTGAAATCAGAGAAAAAACATTTTTTATATAAAAAAGTCAATCGATCGACTTCAGCATCTAATTACATATTCGAAACATGTCTATCTATCGTGTGAACTAGCGAAATAAAAAAATATTAATTTTTTATATGCACCGCGCTATCTCTATAGGTGTCTCATTCGCTGTAATAGCCAATGGCATTTATGCTCGCAATTTGACATATCTTACGGCATAAAAAATGTATCGCGCTTTTCTATTTTATAACGCCATAAAATTCATTCTCATCAATAAAATATATATTATTATTTTTATCAAGTTTGAAATCAATCATCTGCTTAGTTTCCGAAAAAAAAAAATTCGCGAAAATAGCTTATTTTTCTGGCCTATAGACAGGATTGCCTCCTTGATCGGCATTTCTGCTAAGGAGAAAAGAGGAAAGCGCGATATATGGCTATTAGAGCGAGCGAGACACCTATAGAGACAGCGCGGTGTCTCTATAGCTGTCTCACTCATATTGCCTGCATTCAAGCGTAGAGAGAGTGAGACAGCTATTGGGGACACCATTAACCGTACCACGTCTGGTAATGCTTTTTCTCTCGTTCGTGCGACGTGCGATAAGGATGCAACATCGGAACGTCTCCCACCACTTCTCCCTCTTCGCTTCTCTCGCGCTGTACAGTACGCCCATATGCGTATGCGTATATGCCTGTCATCGGTTTCGATTGTTTTACAGGCATATACGACATCGCCGAGGGACACCATACCTGCCTCTGAATGTACAGACAAAATTTATGTACGTATCATGTACTATTATATGTAATTTTATACAATTACATGTAATAATTACAAATACATACAGTTACATATGTAATTTTATATAATTACGTATAATCTTTCTCGCTCGGGAGCATATGTAGATTCTGAGAATGTTCGGAGGATGTCGCAAAAATGCATCGTGTATTTTCCCTATATATTCAAGATGTGCACTGTATTATACAAAAAATATATCGAGTACGTCCATTTTTTTCGTTTTCCCGCTGCGACCGAACGTACTCTTTAGTATGTAATAATATATTTGATATGTACATACATATATATACATAAACATATACATGTATATACACACACGTATACATGTATATACACACACATATACATGTATATACACACACATATACATATATATATATATATATATATAATTTTGTGTATGTAAAATTTTAAGGCATTATTACATATAGTTTTATAGTTATATACTATAGAACTTTTTTCATATATAACCCAGCAAACACAATATTACATGTAACGTGCATGTTAGTTGTAATTTCCTACTCAACAATATAACTATTATATAACTGTGTTATATAACAGTTATGTTGAGTAGGAAATTACAACTAACATGCACATTACATGTAATATTGTGTTTGCTGGGAATATAATATATGTCTCGACTGTAATATATATGTGAAAATATATATGATCTACTTTTGCGATATTTTCCTCAGATTCTCAAAATCTACTTACGTGATGTTGGGATGAAAACTCATATGAAGAGATTCGTGAAGCTAACAAATTCACGCAGCGTAAAGTCTACGGGAAACCTATCTCGGAATACCGAATTGGCGCGAGACTAAAGATAACACGGAAACCAAGAGACCCGTGTAAAGTCAAGGATCGCGAGGAACGAAGGAACTATGATAGAGCGAGGATTAGAGCGCAATCAAAAAGATTCGTGCAACCAAGGATCCGCACAAACAAGAGATACATCGACGGCCCGGCGACCGTCGGCGAACCTCTATATACGCATATCTTATTTCTATCCTGAACTACAGTCACGCCGCTTAACAGTTTCCCTATCAATGGACCCGGAACACGTTATATACCCCAATCCGACGAAAATAAAACTCTGTACTGTCGGATAGAACGCTGTTAAAGACGCTCGTTTTTGTTCTCTCTTTCTTGCTTTTCCTTCTTTCTCTTCTCAAGAGACCCTGATGCGAGACAGGTATATAAGTTTAACAGTTTCGGAAGGTATGAGACAGGCGAGTCCAGAGAGAGACACGTCGCGCGATACAGAGTACGATTAAGGCACAGTCTAACCAGGTAGTGGAGCCTCCTCGTAGAAGTCCAACTCGTCCTCGTGTTCGGACCCCTTGCTGTCGAGGGCGCGTAGCTCCGCGGCGGTGAAGAAGTGGCTCATCTGAGCACGTAGCGGGATCATCAGGATGAGGAAGAACGGTAAGGCCAATGCGGCCCTGGTGCTTTTCACGATCCACAGCACGGCCAGGCACAGGATCTGTATTAAGGTGAACACGTGCATCTTGTAGGTCTGTACGCGGCGCACGTAATTAGCCGTGCCGTGATGCTTGACCGGCATGAAGAATAGCTTGACGCGATCGAACAGCTGCACACCGTTTGTCGACGAGATGCCCATGTAAAGGAATACACCCAACAGGACGGACATCGGCACCCGCCGCAGCAGCGGTGCCATCAGCACGCTCACCCCTATCAGTATGGCGACCAAGAGGGCGCTCACCCTCTGCTCCTTCACCTCGACGATGTGAGGCTTGTCGCCGGGCGCGTGCGTGCGCGACATCACGGTCACGGCCGACACGTGCGTCAAGGAGCGCACCGACGCAGCGGAGCACCAAGGTGCGCCCATTAGACCGCATCCCACATTCATCAGACAGACCACGACTATGTCCATGTGATAGCCGTTGCCCTTCCGCAGTTTGCGTTCCTTCTTGTCGATGATCAGTCTGTGAAGAGGGTGTCGTAGCGGTTAGTCGAGCTCGGGAAAGGAGGATCGAGTTGAGTCAACAGAACGTAAGACAGGTATTCTGAACTCTCGTTTATCGACAAAAATGGTTTAACCCTTTGTGTGGCAGTGATAAGTGCACTTATCTTCCTCTCTTTCATTTTTACGATGTGTTACAATTTAATGAAAACAGGCGTGATCTCACATTTTTCTGATATATTGATACTTCACACGTTTCCCGTGATTTTTATATCCAATTGTTCATTTCTAATTATTCATAAAAAAGTAAAATTTGAAACAGCGATTTAAAACAAATTTAATTTCTTGAAAAGTATTTAGAATTAGAGGCTGAAAATTTTATTAAATACTCTTCACGTGTCAAAATATAATATATATTCTTTTTCCAGAATTTTTCGCACATTAAGTATTTTTTATAAATAAATTACTTGAATGAATTTTGTAAATCTTACGTAAAATTCGTAACTGACGATCTGAAAAATTTTTCTACATTGTATATCTGATTTACATTTACAGATTTACAATAATTAATCCCTATATGGCAGCCATATTGGATCTACCATTTTGCATTTTTGAAATCTGACTTCAGATTTGTATAATCAAAAACTCGACAAACATAGAAATGCAAGATTTCATCGTCAGGTAGAAAAAATATACCATACAAAGAGTTAATCGTTAGTTTGAAGGTTTGCTGAATTCTTTACAGGAAAAAAATGTTCAGAACACCAATCTAAATGTCTAAAGCCGATATTCACAATCGGATTTTATACTTAAGCCGTCTTAAGTTCATTTTCAGGTACTGTACTGTTCATTTTCTTGACTATGAATATCTGAAGTTAAGAGGATCTTAAATATGAAATCCGACTATGAATACCGACTTAAGAGACGTCTTAGGTCGCTGGTATTCGCACGCAATAAACAAATCACGGTAACGTCAGTATTACTTTAATATTGTGATTTTTTACTCAACAATGGAATTATCATGTATTATATCATACATGGCTCAATATTGAGGAATTGTACATATAATAAAAAATATAAATTATACTGATGTAATGTCGCTATTAGTTAATGTCTATTGGTCATAATTCGGCCTTGTGTTTAAAACAGAGTTGAGAAAGTTTGGAAAATAAAGTATTACTGTTATACTCTCTATTCATTAAAAAAAAGCCAATTCGTTTCTTATTGATGAAAATAACTCGTTACCATTATTCAAGAAATAACGAATCGTTTTACAATTTCTCTTATTTTTTTCATCAGGTTTTAAAGGTCTGTTTTTAACAATTATATTTAATAACGACTCGTTACAAAGTCGTTACCAAAAAAAGTAACAATAATAGAGCTACAAGTACGTACTCGTAGCTCATTACTTTCCCATCCTGATTTAAAATCATCTTAAGTTCATCCTCAGATAATCCGTAGTCAATAAAACGATCTGTTAATATGGGTCAGGAATTCAGAAGACATTCCGCTCGTCTTATACGTCTTCCAAGTGTCCCTAAGCTACATTTTGAATATTTATGCTGTCTAGAGTACTTACTCTGATATCTGAGTCTCCATGAATACTAGAATGTAGACCAGTAAGGCCGGCACCACGCAAGCCACCGCCATCCAGAACGGAATGGGTTTCTCCGTACCAGCAGGTGATACGAACCAGCTTCTATCAGGTATAGTTGGGCTGAGTCCTTCTGGGACCAACAGTTTCTCCGTCCTCACCATGGCTAAATAATCAATGAGGACGAAGACGATGATGCTGATGGGTACACCGAAGTCACCGAAGGCTCTCCGGGCACTGCGGCCCAAGTAATGGCTGTTGCGGAAGATCCTCAAGTAATAAGCGCCCAGGAAAGTGCCGAGGCAAAGTATAGTGCACATTAGGGCGGTGTTGGGCTGGTTAATCAGCAGCCTGGCAATGTCGCGCCTCGGTATCAACTCACTGGCATTCTCCAAGCGATACGTTATCTCGGTTGCGTTCCACGGCGACGTGGTGATCTTCATCTCGGTGACGTAGAGCGGGTAAACGGTGTCGTTGACGTCCGGGCCGAAGCTGTACTCGTGCAGAAGCGGGTTTCGCACGAAGTAGTTGTAAAGTTTGATGAACGTTTCGACGATGTAGAGGATGGAGATCAGGCCGGTGAAGATCTCCTCGGTGAAGCGCGTGAACAGTCGCACGAGGACCGAGCCCTCCACGCAGGCGATCACTACGGCGATGATGCCCATCCACGCACCCACGTACACTCGAACGGTGAGGAACTCGAGCTCATTCGCTATACAGAAGTTGTACAGGCTCTCGTCGAACAGCAGCAGCGGCCCGGTCGTGCCGATGATGACCAACGGCTGGGTGGCGAACAACGCCATCACCACACCCGTCCACGAGCCGGAGACCAGAGTCTCGGAGATGCCGATCACGTTCTGCGTCTTGTCGCTCATCAGACCACCGAAGGTGATGGCGGTGCATAGTGCGGCGAAGTACATGAAAATAGCGGCCGCGAGGCAGGACGAACTGAGACCATCCGTGAAGTCTGACAGGTAGAAAGGGTAGCGACGCTTGATGTCGTTGATGAGACAGCCAAATGGTCGTCTGGTGCGCCGCAGTGGATCGTCATCTTCCGGCGGTTTCTTCTCTTCTTCGCCCGCCAGGAGAGCTGTGGACCGTCGATGACGATTGGTTATCAACAGGTTGTCAATAGGTCTGGGTGAGTTAGTGCATTCTTTTTTTTTTGAGTAAGTTACGTTTAAAGTTCCGGTGCTACGAAGTTAACTGAAGCAAGTTAAGTGTTGTTTACACAGAAACTAACTCGATTAAAATTTAACTTAAATTTGTATCTTTTATTTTTTCACGTTAACTTATTACACAGGGCTCCCATTCCTTCGCCGCGGAAGTCTTGACGTCAGAATGACGTCAGAAGCAAGGAGAGATGCATACTGAAAATTCCTACGGATCATGTCGAAATGAAAGAAATAGCCGTGAAACCATGATACGTGCAATTGATTGAGCACATTTCGAAGATTCTCCGGAATCTTCCCTTCTGTCAAAGCATTTTGAATAAGTGTGCGAAGAAGCAACGTGACAAAATCATGAGGAAAGGCCGATTAAAGAGGAAGATTGCGTGTCATTGCGTTAATTTTGCGATTATTTATTGATCATTAGAGCACAATCAAAGTTCTCGGAGCGATTGATTGTGTCATTTTGCGCGAGTATATAATTTTATTTCAACATGAATTTTTTTAAAACGAATTTCTCCGCTTTTCAAATATTATCAAGGTGGCTTAAAATTAAAAGTTAATTACGCAAAATAATATTTAAGTTTTTCCTATAATTAATTTTTTAATCATGTAATTAAGCAATTGAAAGCTCTTCCACAAGAATATACCGACTGTTTTGTAGTTAGAATTCCACATAAAAAAAGAAGGAGAGAAAAAAGAAAGAGATCTTACTGGCGTTATTTTTTATTATTTTGCATTGCACTGTAAGCATTCCACAATGATTCTAAAATCGATGAATTATTCTAACTTACATGAAAAAAAAATTAATAAAAGTCGATGTGTTAATATATTTTAAAATAATTAGTTTAAGCTAAAAGAGTTCACTCTTTTTAATAATTAACTGAGAGTTATCTTTTTAATTTAACTTTTTTTAACCGATTAACTAGTTATTGCTCGACTTTGTTTAATAATGTGAATGACAAAAGGCCCGACAGAATTAGACAGAAACTTCGATTAAAGGTCATCAAAAAATGCCATCTCACTGAAAAGTCCAAGCACTTACCTTTCTTTACAGCCGCTTCACTTTGCACCGGCTTGGTCTTCTCCTCGAGCGCCTTAGCCTTCCTCTTTCTGATGGCCTCGCTCTTCGCCTTGAGTTCGTCGAACGGCAGCAACGCTTGTCTCTCCCAATCACCAGGTGGTAATACGATCGAATCGTCCAAGAACTCGTTGATAGCTGATAATAATTCTCGCCTCTCGGTAGCCTTGTACGCGACTTTGTGGAACGACGTGTTCGCCATCAGAGTGGAAATAGATCGACCGATCTCGTGGTAGTCCAGATCCGCGTTCCTCGGTCCCAGTAGGGTGAACATGAACCTCACCGGTATCGTGACTTCCGTGATGGCCGGCATGAATACACCCTCGGCCAATCGTACGAAAGCTATCGTCGGCTGGTCCAAGAAGTCAACGGCACCGACGAGGACAACTGTTGCCTCAGCACCGGCTGGAATCCTCTTCAGGATGTACTCATTGTGGCCTTTCTTCAGATCCTCGTTGCTACTCGTATACGTCAGTTCCTCCTTGATATCGACCACGGTGTGGTTACTGTCTAGGGCCAAGTTCGATGACACGATCTTCGGTTTTGCGTCGTGCAGATTCTGTCGAATTTGATGAAACTGTTAGAGAAAACTGAACGAGAGAGCTCGGCTGCCACCGAGAAGAAAACTATACAATCTCTCCGTAAGAATTAAGAGTTGAAAAAGTATCTTTGATCGTGTTTCAATATCATGAAACTAGAACAACCTGTGTATCATTCAATTATTTGTTGGAAATGAAAGAATGTCCATTTGTTTTTTTTTTAAGAATATAATATTTTTATATTATATTTATATTTAATATATAATAATATATATGGTATTTATATATTTTTATATGATGTTTGTTAGGTGTAATATTTATATCAAATATGATATAAGCAACACAATGTTCTTAAATTGCATTCTTTTTCTTGAAATGCAAAAGTCAAACTCTTCTTCGAAACGAGTAAAAAATCAAAGCAACAATGAAAATACTGTCACTTGAAGTCACAAGAGTGAATGTTTAATTAAAAAAATTGGAGAGTTCTTAATGCATACGAGTGAATTTTCTAATCGATTAGAGTAAATTTGTTCGAGTAGCGGTAAATATATTATACATATTTAATGTTTAATTTCGAATGAAAATATTCACTCGACAATTCAGAGTGAAAGAATTCTGTATGAGTGAAAAGTTACTTCGAATAACTCGATTGTAATTTTACTTTCCGAGCGAAATATCGATCTGGCGATTAGGATAGTCATTTAGAGAGTGCACAATTGATTTTTTACCTAATTTCATGATATTGTTTTACGTTTAATGATTAACAAAGAAATATGTTCAAATGTAATAATTCCCCGAGAAAAAACTTAATCGACTCTTGAAACTTCAGAATCCAAGGAAAGAAAAATGTGCCAAAGAATGGAAAGAATATAATTGCTTTTCAGTATTTGCATTACGATCGAAATTGGAAAAGAAGACGAAACACTTCAAATAGAAAGAGTGCGCATGGCGAGAGTATTCGTTTTAAATCGAAAAGCGAGGAGAAACGCTGTGTGTAAATTATCGCACTGCCACAGAGTATACTCGTGCCGTACATTACAGCGTGGTGCACAAAGATATGACGCAGTCTCACGCTGAGAAAAAAAGCGGTTGGACCAAAAACTCTGCGGACACGTTCGTTCAAAGAAATATCACGTCCATTGAACAAAGTATGTATTGACGTAGCAATATATTGCGCTGATATAGTTGTTAATCGAATCGCCATCATTGAATCAATCGACAACTCATCGTAACAACTATATAAAAAATCATGTATAAATTTTACCTATGTAACCATACATACTTATATATTATATATAATTATATGTTTTTTATTATATGTTATATATATATATATATATAGTACATTACATATCATATATTATATATTTTATAGTATATACTATATATTATATACTGTATATTGTATATTATATATAATTATATAATATAATTGTAAAATATAATTATACTCAACAGCATTTGACATATAATTATATATGAAAAAATATATATATCATTATAATTATATATATATATATATATATATATATAATTATAATGATATATGGATCTACATAGAGATAAAATCCATATATGTAAAATTATGCAGAATAGTCCATATAAGGCTTAACAACTAAATATCTCCAGAATCAAGTGATCAATTTTAATCCTTCAAGTCTTGAATCTCTCATAAATCCCAAAGGTCTTTAAATCTGGGTCAAGACTTAACTTTACTCATCTCCATTGAAGGGTAGAGTGACGATAAACTTTAAAATATCAAATGGGTACTTTAGTCGACAGGGTGACATCGCTATTAGCAACTTTTCCAGCGTCACTTTTGGGATAAAAATATATACTTACTCGATGTTTTTCACAAGGATTTCGCCTATATGAAAAATATCAATATGTGTCAAGCAAAGCTATTAAGTTATTAATCTCTGGTAATCTAATTATTAAGTTCTACGCGGGCCACCTTGTGTGTGATTATATATGCGACCATGTAGAAATAAAATACAAATATATATGTAAGGAACATATAATTATATGTGAGTCAATATTTTATATAATTATAAATTGTTATTATATATAGTTATAAATTGTTATATAAATTGTTTTTCATATATAATTTTATATAATTATATATAAACATTCTTTTCCCGCACAATTTGTTCAATCGACTGAACGAGCGAATTTTTTTTCTGTCCAAACAAAGTTTTATTGACGCCACCCCGTATTTTTCTCGGTGTAGGAGTCAAGATCCTCGAGATCGCAATGAATCGTGAAACGAGGCGTTGCGTCGTACCTTCGTAATTTGTTGCATGTAAGAAAAAAAGAAAAAAACTTAGGCGTGAAAAAATTACGAAAGGAAAATCCAGCGAGCGGAAGACGTGATTGCAAACGTTTGCGCGGTCGCCGATATCGACCGACGAGCGCCGTTCAACCGCGAATATTTCTGAAATCAGTTTATAACCCGAGTTCTGGGGCTAGTCGCGTTAATAAGGTGTTCGCGGAGGCACGACACAATAGATAAAACTGTGAGAACACGCTGCGGTTTGGTCTTGCGGCGATTCATTTGCGACGATCGCGAGGTAAACGGAAACACGGCGATTTTTCGACGTGATAACTCCGCCGAGAATCCGGTGCAAAGATTCAGCCCCGTTTAAACGACTTTCTCGATAGTCCCGATGCTAAGGGCGAAAGGAAATAACATTTAGAGACTACAGATCTCGAAATTTCTTGGAGCGAAAACTTTCTACTCAAAAACTTGAGTTGCCGACGAGCGATGGCCGAATCACTCGAATTCGACGTTTTTTTCTCGCTGTAGATATCTATAATTACGTGTGATTATATATAGCTACGTATAATCAAGATTTATACAAAATTGTTCGTATAAATGAATCCGAGTCAGGAGCTGAAGTGATTCTTCATTCATGATAGAGTGAATTTTCCGCTCTGAATCGCCAAGTTAATACCTTCACTCGAACTTGAAGAGTAAATTTGATGTATATATCCGACCATAAGACGCAGTTTGCGTAAATTTTTCCCAATAAATAAAGTTGCAGCGCTTTGGATCGTCAAGAGGTTCGTTTCTCTTATCGCTGAACTGGTTGCTCTACCTCTCACGCACTGGTTCTCTTTTTTTTCTGAACATATCTCAATACATCTTTTTTTAAGTCCTGAAAGTGCACATTAACTTAGTGATAAAAAACAAACCTATAATCGAAAGGCACTGTGTTTGCGTAGTAGCCGATTTTCATAGCTGCTGATGTAAATATTAGTCCTTTATTATTCTCCTTTTATTTTATTATTTCTTAGTTTATTTCTTGTTTTTTAGTTTATTCCTTCGTTTTATTATTTATCATTTTTGTTTATTATTTAGAGGAAAAGGTAGTATGACCTTGTCAATAACCAATGACTTTGTCAATAATCGATATTTTAAAGTGAGAACTGAATAATTACACTTATCACAGTATTGTTTAATCAATTACAGACTCAAATTTACGTAATATTTATTACTTAGAATGTTATTTATAAAAATTGTATGATTGTAATTTATAAAAATGTTATTTATAAAAATGTGGCAACACAGCATAATGGGCGAGAAAATGGAGTGGTATAATGTGACCTCCCACTAAAACTGATACAAAAAATTGATTTTGTTCAAAATAACACAAAGTGTTTATACACTTTAAATAACACAAGTTACGAAATTATGTATTTATTCAAATTAAACTTTTGAAGAGAAAATAATAATATAATTGCGAATAATATATATAATATAAATAATGAATATAATTGCGAATTTTTAATGTGGATATTAACTTGCTTGGTAGAAAATACAATCTGCCAGAAAGATAGCGGTGTAGTGCAAGCATAAGTGGACAACAATGGACTACAGATTAAAATCGACTTATCGAATAATTACTTTGGCATTAAAACGTCGAAAAAGAGATAATATTTATCGGCACTTTTATGGGGCCACATTAGCAAAATGTCATGCTGTTTCATTTAACTTTGCACAATTTGAAAGATGTGCAGCCGAATAAAGTGTCAAGTGACAAACAAAATACTCAACTGTACATATATTCGTATGATAACACGTTCAAGTTTAAAAATAATGAGGAAACACGTCTGATTAAATGCTAAAATGTACCTTGAAAAACATTTTGAAATGCTCGAAAGTAAAAATGCGTTATAAAAGGTGCTAGCTATCGTGTATTGATATATTAGCGTTGTTGCGCTAACGACGAACTACTAAACAAATGATTCCATAAGTAATAACTGGAATTCGCTACCTAATAACAAAGATATTAAGAGTGGCCATAATACCTACAAGGGCCATAATATCATAAGACACCACCTTCTCCTCTCCTATTTACTTCTTAGTTTATTTTTTTCTTATTTTATTATAATACCCAATATTCTTATTATTATTGGCCACTTTATTACACTGTTGTTTGACAGATAAGGTTAAAAATTAGAGATGTGCAAACTATTCCAATTCGAATCCGAATCCCTATGATTCGAATCCGAACAATTCGAAAATTTTGAATCGTGAAGATTCGAATCAAATATATTAGCGTTTACGCGCATCAGCTACGAAACAAGCCATCTGGACCTGTATATTTGAACCCTTAACTTGTAATTAACTTAACTTATAATTAATAACTTAATTATAAATTACTTCAAACATTTAAATATATATTTTACTTTAAAATGATATTACAATATCAATATTCCCTTCCATATTAAAATCTTCCATCATTATTTGCATGTTTAATAGTCATGTTAAATTTTTTAATGTTTCGATTCGATTCGAATTCGAATTTAAAAAATAAGATTCGATTCGATTCGAATTCGAATTTAAAAAATGAGATTCGATTCGATTCGATTCGATATAAAAATTCTTGATTTGCACATCTCTAATAAAAATATTGTTTTTCTCCGATCCCGCGTTGCAACTATGACAACTGATGTCACGCATATTGTCACTTTGGTTCTTGTCATCATCGGTTATTGCGCAAACGCGTCAGCAATTTCTCTCAATTGCGACAACTTGAAGCGCTGCAATTTCATCAGGTAAAATGTGCGCAACTATTTTATGGCCGAATATACATTGAATTCCTAAACGCTTTGAACGCATTTTTTACGCAGTCAGCAACTTGTTTCTGAAAAATTCCTTAAGATTAAGTTCTCTTGTATCGTACATCCGCAGCCATCCGATCGCATGCACAAGAATATTTTCGCTATCGAGTAAAAATATGACCGTGTCTCACTCGTTTTGAAGTCCCACTCCAAGAAATTGAGAGAGAGAGAGAGAGAGAGAGAGAGAGAGAGAGAGAGAAAGAGAGAGAAAGAGAGAGAGAGAGAGAGAGAGAGAGAGAGAGAGAGAGAGAGAACTAAAATGAATCCTACACGCTAAGATCACACGACTCTATCTAGTTGTCTACCAGATCTAATGACGGCACTATTGATGAGTGTTAGCTTTCTCTCAATCTGGTATATCTTTGATATTAGGCGTATACAAGACACAAAACATATACCAAGAGTGAAGAGTGTGAAATGGAAAAAAACAATGAAGCCAATGAACTCTCTCGCTTCGTAACATAGTAATCGAGAAAATCGATAAAGTCGGTTTGATTCATGCCAGAGATTCAGGCGCGTATTAATCGGTCGTAATCTGAAACTGTCTCACGTGAGATACTCGGATCGAAATTTAGAGTTAGGCCTGAGACTTTGGGTTAACTTGCATACCCACGTGACGAATTATGCTTGCGACGGCGATTCAACCGGAAAATTCGCATCCAACTTTAAGCCCCGATCCGGGTATTCCTCGAGACGAGTCCCAGGCAACGGCTATTAATACAGACCTTAGAGAGTCTTAGAGAGACTTTACATTAGAGAGTTCCTTAGAGAAGAGGTACGAAAAAAAGGTACAAAATAAAAAGAACGCCGCGTGATAAAGTGCGGGCAAACAGGGTGAAGGACTAGCGGCAAGAATGAAAAGAAAACTGCGTTCGATCCGGGAAACGAGAGATTTACATGTTGGGTCACATGGTTCTCAGCGGCTTCCCGCGCAGCGTCTTCTTCCTCCAGCCAGATGGACTGTGGAAACAACATTAGTACACTGTCAGTCAGGCCTGTCCTCTTGCTACCAGCCCACTACGACTACTCGCTACTATTGCTCGCGACATTCATCGTCCTAGGCAGTCTTCAGCCGTTCTCGAGGCCCGTGGAGCGCGCCCGGGATTCGCGTCTCAAATTCATCGTCTAAGTTTACTACGGGCACAGCGAGAGAGACACGTCGATATCCGTCAGCAGCGATCGCGATTAAGCCACTTTGGTAAATATACTTAAGGGACTCATATCTAATAGTCTTGATGTCTGCATATATTATTGAACTCACCCTTCTGAGTAACATTCAAAAGGTTTTAGCTCATTGTTTATTAAAATATTACTAATCAAAGGAGTCTCACAAGTGCAGCCTATTTTTCCGACATAGTGTAAGTTAAAAATGTTAAACGGCACATATGAACGGGGGAAAGGCAGAGCCTCTCCCACCCTCGAAAAAAATCCAGTCTAACCTAACCTAATCTAATCCAATTTATTATATCTTTGTATATTGTTAGACATTGTTGAAAAGGTCCCTTTAAAACCCACTTATGCGAAGAAGAAAGCTAAAAGTTGATGCTTTTGTATGCCATTAACGAAAATTAAGAAAAAAATTTGCTACCGGTGCTACAGCGGCATCAAAACCCTCGAAATTGTCGTTTTTAACAATTTTTCGCCATTTTTCTCAAAATTGTGACGTGGTAATCAAATTTAGACAACGGATTCGTGCTCAACAGACAAAAATACATTGGAAATGACTATTCATACTCATGTTATTGGAAAGATTTGCAAATTGTTGCCTCAAGATTTGCGGCAGAACGCCCCGGAGCCGGAATTTATCATGGGCAAAATCGGGCATTGAATACAAAGGATCTAAAGAATTTTCCTTCTAATATAACTAATTTTCACATGCTCTTTCTATTTATAACATCCGTTTTTGAAAGTAGTTCTTACAACTTGGATGGGTCCCTTGTAAGCTTTTTTCGGGAAAGAAGTGCAGTCTCTCGCCTACTTATAACTTTTTAACTTTAACTTTTTAACTCACACTCGGAAAAATAGGCTCTATTTATGGAATTTCTTTTGTTGATAACTTTTTAATAAATAATGTGTGACAGCTGAAACCTGTTAAATGTTACTCAAGATGGTAAGTCCTATAATATTGGGTTGGCAAATAAGTTGGTTCGGTTTTTGTTTCAGTGTAAGTTTTATGCGGATTTGCTTTTCTTTTCTCAGCGCTATCGTGCAAATCGAATACACATTTGAAAGGTTATGTTTCACTATTGATGTTGTGCTGTGTTTGGTTTGGCTAACATCAGTATTGTATGTGCTGCGTAGCTGTGAACATGGAAATAAATAACGTGCATTATCGTCACATTTTGCTCTATTATTTTTAAAAAGGCAAACGAGCTGCGGATGCTCATAAAAAGATATGCCGTGTGTATGGAGATGATGCCTTAACAGAGCGCGTATGTCAAAAGTGATATGCCAATTTCCGTTCTGGAGATTTCGACGTCAATGATGCGCCCCGCTCCGGTCGTCAGACCGAGATTAATTCAAGTGACATTAAGGCTATCGAAGTAAATCCATCCTAATCGGTACAAGAGATTGCTACGACATTGAATATATCCCACACAAGCATAGAAAAGTATTTGCGCCAGCTGGGATACGTTTCTCGGCTTAATGTTTGAGTGCCGCATCAATTAACCGAGACTAACTTGACCACATATCCATCTGCAATTCGCTACGGAAACGCCAAGAAAACGATCCTTTTTTGAAACGAATGGTGACGGATGACGAAAAATGGGTCGTCTACGATAATGTAACGCATAAAAGATCATGGAGACATAGCAGCGAGCCACCGCAAACAACCTCGAAGGCGGGATTGCATCCGAAGAAAATAATGCTCTCCGTATGATGGAATTTCAAGGGTGTTATCTATTACGAACTGTTACCGTCAGGCAAAACGATTGATTCAACTGTATACTGTTCGCAATTAACGAAATTGAACCAAGCAATCCGTACAAAACGTCGAGAATGGACAAATCGCAAGGGTGTCATCTTCCACCACGGCAACGCCAGACTTCATATATCATTGACCACTCGGAACAAATTGCTTCAGCTTGACTGGGATGTTTTGCCTCATCTGCCGTATTCACCAGATCTTGCCCCTTACGATTATCATTTATTCTGGTCACTGCAGAACTCTATGAATGGGAAACCTTCAAGGATGAAGAGGCCGTTAAAAACCACCTGGATTGGTTTTTCACCGATAAGCCCCAGACGAACGCGGCATCATGAAATTGGTGGAAAGATGGCTAGAGCTCATCGATAAAGATGGCCAATATATAATTGATTAAAATTTATCTTGTGTATCAAAAAATTGTGTTTTATTCTACTCTAAAAAACCGAACAAACTTATTTGCCAACCCAATATACGTTAATATCAAAACCACTGGAGGTGAATTCCCTAAACAGCATATTTACCCTCGCTTTACTTTCATTAGAGACCCCGAGTTGTTACCGGCTATCCATAGAGTCGCGGAAATCGACGAAGATCCGTGAGAAAAAGATACGCTGATCGCTCCAACCGAGCGTCAACTTCGACTCGTCGCCAAATCGAATCTACACTTAGCAGCCCCGCAGCCTGTGAACGAACTTCACCTGTTGACGACTCATCGTCACGATTCCCCCACCTGCCCACCGTCTCACTACTCGTTTATTTTACAGCGCAAGCGAGCTTTGCAATCAACCGATTTATCCGGCCGTTGCCGATGACATACGCGACGGAGAGTATCGCCGATATAAGCGACAACTACCTGAAGGCTGGTGTAGCTGGAGTAACTCCTCTTAGCGCCGAAACGGAAGCCGCGCTCATGCTCGTGCACGTGCCGATGTCTCAGCAATAGTGCTCGCATGACGACCGGCCTGTCTTCGGCGAGGATCAGCTCCTCGACGACCATCTGCTCGACCACCCTGTAGGCCAGTCCCGGCAGGTCCTTCTCCTCCAGGTCGAGCAGGACCACGCCGGTCTCTAGGCAACGGCGGAGATTCAACAGCGAGTGGAAGCTGAGCGAGGCTACGTGAGGTCTACCCCACCTATCGGCACCCTCCTCGACATCCTCTTCGTACTTGATCCAGCGCGCGGTTTCCCTCCATTCGCGCTCCTCGCCCATGCCATGCAGTTCGTCCAGCTGGACGAACACTTCGTGCGGTGAGTGATCGTACATCTTCTTGAATGTGTCGTGAGGGATACCGCCCTCCTTCCGCCGACCGATCTGCACCACCGAATGGGCCGCTTTGTGTCGGCGCATGCCGCGCGGGTCGTCGCTGCGGTGCGATTCCAGGTCGTCGATGTCGAGTTCCTGCAGAGTGCTCGCCTCCTCCGGCTGGACGCTGACCCGACGGGTCAGCAGGCCCGAGCTGTCCGGTAAACCGGCGCCTGAACGTTTCCGCCATTGCGGGTCCTCCTGCAGGGAGTACTTGCGAGACTTGTGGTGATGGCGTCTGAAACAGTGGTGAAGTAGCCGATTAACACTTTATATGCGTGCGATGGAATATTCCGTTTTTTTCTGTCTGTGCTTTTTTCTTGTAATGCTTCCACACAACTGAAAGATTCTCAATTTCAGACCGAAGAACGGTATTATCGATCTGCAAGGCGGATTCATCTCATCGAAATCTGAATCGTTGTAAAAGTAAACGCGAAATTTCCGTCGCCCGCATAAGAAAGTGTTAACACACGTTGAGACATTGAATTTCCGCTGATCATTGTGATCGGCTCGACTCGAGACCGAATCGCCAAGTACGCGGTAAATATTGGGTTGTTTGGAAAGTAATTTCGGATTTTTCAAATAGATGGTATTAGTTGCCTTTTTAAGCAGTTAACCTTATTCTAAATCAGAAAATTATTTTACATTTTTACAACGCACATTTCAAGCTTCATTTGAAAAAAAGTGGTTTTGAAATCTGTCAAATTATTTTTGTTTGGCGTCGTACCAAAAATGGAAAACCAACGTGAGCATTTTCGTCACATTTTGTTTTTTATTATCGTAAAGGCAAAAATGTAGCGCAAGCAAGAAAAAAATTGTGTGCTGTGTATGGAGAAAATGTATTGACTGAACGCCAGTGCCAAAATTAGTTTTGGAAATTTCATTCTGGAAATTTAGACCTCAAAGATGCACCATGTTCTGGAAGGTTCTGCCAGTTCAGGCTGATGAAGACCAAATAAAGGCATTGATAGACGCAAATCGTCGTCATTTAACAACACGAGAAATTTCTGAGTGATTGAATTTATTGAACTCGACCGTGCATGAGCATTTGAAACAATTTGGTTTCAAAGCTCGATATTTGGGTTCCACACGTTCTCAAAGAAAAATATTTGATTCGTCGCATTATCATCTGCGATTTGCTGTTGAAGTGTGAAGAAAACGATCCATTTCTGAAGCAACTCAACATGGGGATGAAAAATGGATTGTGTATAACAATATTAAACGTAAAAGATCATGAAGAGGACGTGATGAACCAGCTCAAAGCACATCGAAAGCTGATATTCATCAAAAGAAGGTGATGCTCTTTGTTTGGTGGAATTAAAAAGAAATGGTTTCTTTCAGCTGCTACCAAACAACCAAACGATTGATTCGAATGTGTATTTTCATCAATTAGACAAATTGAGTGATTCCATCAAGCAAAAAAGACTAGAATTGGCGAACAGAAAAGGTGTTGTGTTTCATTAAGATAATGTCAGACCTCATGCAAGTTTAATGACTCGCCAGAAGCTGTTAGCGTTTGGATGGGATTTGCTATCACATCCACCATATTCACGTGATCTGGCACCATCCGATTATCACTTGTTTCGGTCACTGCAAAATTCCTTGGATGGTAAAAATTTCTATTCAAATGAATGTCAAAAACCATTTGATTCAGTTTTTTGCTAATAAGGACCAGAAGTTCTACGAGCGTGGCATCATGTTATTACCTCAAAGATGGCAAAAAGTGTTAGACAAAATAGCCAATACTTAACAGAATAAAACTTTTCTTTTTATTAAAAATATCGTCTTTCATTTTTATGCAAAAAACCGAAATTACTTTCCGAACAATCTAATAAATGCAATTCGCGATGCATGATATGTCACTCAGTTGGGCATTAAGGTTAGAATCGCCGACGATTAATTACGCGACCTACTTTTATTGCAGCTATCGAAATGACGTGTCATTGAAAATAATGTATTATGAAAAGATAATAATGTATTATGAAATGTATTATGAAAAGGTGGTCATATTTATTCAATTATTTTTTGTTTCATTCCATGTCCATGTTTAAAATATAAAGTGCATCGTTATTTTATAAAAATTCGAGTAATTTAAAAGAAATTACAAACTAGTCGAAAAGTTTGAAGACGTTCGGTGTGATTTGGTGTCAATCGATTAAAATTTCAATTGACCAAAATATCCGGCAAAAATCAATAAACAAAATTAATTAATCGTCATAAATATAAAAATATTTACTTTAAATTATTATATTATTATTAATTCATTTATATTAAACTGATTATATTGTATTAAATACCACTATTAAATTATTAATTTTAATTATTAATTTTACATGGACATCCTGTTAATATTCGTACAATTAAATTTTATTACATTAAATGAATTATGAATAACTCAATTTACTAGTGAAATTAATTGTTAATTAATGTATAATCAAAATAATCGACCGAAGCAATTGTACATATATGTAATCATAATTTATTCCATAATTTATCCCATGTTCCAATTTTAATCGGTCAATCAAAATTTCAATCGATTAATGTCGAACGAGGTGAAGGTTTTTATTGGCTGTATATTTAATCCGCTGTGTGCACATTTGTGGAGAGGAGAAGGAGTTGCGTTTTATGCGTAAACTCACGAGATGTATTATCAATATTAATGCATAGCGGTTATTAAAACAAATAATTAAAATTATCAAAATCTCTTGTACGTAGATAACACAATAACTCGAAATTCTAAAAGTTTATGCGAGAGTCAAAGTTGACTTGAGTTCGACCTCTTGCTTTCGCGAAGTGTCTTTCCAGTACGAAGCACGCTGAGGCCTCCGACACATCTAAACGGAGCCGCTGGTGGATATAATATTTCGCTTTTTTTGTTTTAGCACGTTTTATGAATCATCATCTAGGACTCGGTACCGCTCCGTGCCGGAATTGTCACGCCGCATATCCGCATAGGGCTCGTTGTCCGGGATGGTACGAAATAAAGGTCGGCCGTTTCGTGTTCATAATTGCGCGGTTTATACGGTGCAAATACGGAGCCCGTAAAATTGTGACATGAAATGCGCGACCGTCAGATTTAAACTTTCGCCTAAGTATCGAAGATGATCCAGTTTTCGTGCCCGTAATATCCGCGACAGACACGACAGCCGAAATGCGCTCGTCTCGGCTTCCTGCATTATCATCGCCCTTAGAAGGGAGGAATTTCCATCGCGACTATCACCGTGACGGAAATAGTCCGTCTCTTCACTCGAGACGCTCGAACGTGCTAATTTCATTTCGATCCTCTCCCTTTGCCCCTGTGTCCGCCCTCTTTCACCGCCTCTTTCGTTCTCCGCGAGAGCTCTAATCCGGCCTAATCGAGTCTAATCGAGTCAAACCGACTTGTATAAAGTGACTTTCCCCGAACAATTAATCTATAAATAATCGGAACAATCTAACCGACAATTAACACCCAGTTATCGAAAAGTCGTCGATAGAACGTTATTACTACGGCATTGAATGACGTATCACGTTTTCTAATATGTAGGATAGTTTTTAACGTTGTATTAATATAACAATCATCATCACCATTGTTATCATAACACTTCGACATTTTCGGAACATTTTTACAATATTCAACGAGATCGTATTATCCAGTAGTATATTTTCAAAATATATATTTAAAATGTCAAGCGGAAATGTTCAAAGGACACACATAAAAATCAACATTTTCAGATATTGATTCAATGTTCTTTGTTTCTTAGGTTAACAGAATTGCCAACTGTGTAACTCATCGACTAATAATATTCAAAAAGATTCATAATTCTCTATGCATTAACAGGGTAGAACATTTAATACTCGACTAATAATATTTTGAAACAGAGTTTATAGACACAAAACACGACAGTTTCCCTCTTGTTTCAATAACAAACTGTCCTCTAGCTTGTTAACGATTCTGCCGACTAACTTAATCGTCGATTGGTTTACTAAGAATTCATATAAAATCATTCTTACATGTTTTTATCTCTATAACCGATTATAATCTTCGTTGACTAAAACATCTGACAATCAATAAATAAAATAAATTAATTGTCATATATATTGTATATTAAATCATATTATCATCAACTCGCGCATATTAATTATTATAATATATTAAATACTATTATTATATTATTTAATATAATATAATATTAATATTTAAATATTATTATTAACAATATTATTTTCGAATTGTTAATTTTAATTATTAATTAAATATGAGTATCATATTAATATTCACGCTATTAAATCTTATTAGATAAATCAGTGATAAATCATGACAAAAAAAAAGATAAATAATCCTAGATAAATCAATGTTTAAAATTGGCATTTCAGTCAGGCCTTAAATGCTCTATTTTGCCAGCGTGTACAAAATTATAAAAAAGGAAGGTCCATCAAAGCGTTTTTTGCCTTTACAGAGTTTTCAAAAAACAATTTTTTTTTTATTATATTTTTATATTATATGGTCACTAGGAATATCTAAAATAACCATTAGATGAGAAAAATCTTGATTCATAAAGCCAAAATTAATTATTAGTCTAGGCGTATCATTGGTAACTAAATCTTTTCATGACTAATAAGTAGACTGATAAAATATTTTCACTATTATATTTTCCTGCCATCATATTAACGTCATTCTAACCCATCAAGAGTTTTTGAAAATAGTATAGATAATGCTGCCTACTATGCTAGTATAGATAATGCTGCCTATTTCTTCATTTGTCCTATTGAACAGATGAAGGAAGATGAAGAAGAATCATTGAATTCTGGGCAATCATCACCAGAAGATGCTTAAGAATCGCGATCATAGTGTTTAATATATCCGAAAAGAAGACAGAAAACAAAAAACAACAAGGACAAAAAAACAAAAAATAAGAAACAAAATAAATAAATTAAAATAAAAGTTTTCACTATAAGCCTATTTATTTTCATCTTGAGAACGATATATGTATTGTAACCTAAATTAACATCAATCCTCTTTTACTGCCAGCCCTAAATATGATATAAAATAAATGGTGGAAATGTTACGACCAATTTGATGTATTATCTAGTAATTCTTCCCGATGAAATTTATATAATCCAGAACAAAATTTAAAATTGAAATGTGAAATGTCGGTAGAACACGCACTGTCTGATACACATTTTTCAATAGTTGGCGATGTACGAATTTCATCGACTTTATAGCCACCAAGTTTCTATCGTGATGGAATTCGGCAACCGCCTAATAAATGGCGTAAGATCATCGATAACAACGGAGAATATTTCATTAATTAATTTTGTTCTTTTGATTTTTAAATAAAAATTGAAAATTATTGAAAATCGGAAAGAATTAACTACTAAACCTTATATACGTGTTATTTGAGAGGAGAAATAGTCTGAACGTAAATAAACAGGATTGACCTTTTTATCAACTGAACGTCGACTGGATCGCAGTAAAAGGGTTGATATGACGGCAGAGAAGAGTATAATGAACAAAAATATATTATTAATCCACTTATTAGTTATGAAAAGGGTTTAGTTATATACACAGTGTAATATACCTAGACCAATAATTAATTTTAACTTGATGGATCGAGTTTTTCTTTCATTTTGGTTATTTGTGACATTTCTAACGATTATAATATAAAAACAAATGATTATAATGCAAAAAACATTTTTGAGAATCCTGTGGGAACAAAAAAATGCCCTTATCAACCCTCCTGCTTTGTTGCTTATCGCCAAGCTCTCATGGTATTCAGCTCCATATAAAAAAAATGAAACCCAGTCAGCGAGTCTTACTTGTGCTCGTGTTTCTGGTGTCGTCGACACTTCCGGTCCTCCTCGTGGCCACTGGGTGTAGTATCCGCCGGCGCTTCCGGAATCTGCGCGCATGGTGCCTCCTCTTCCTTGATCTTCTCGAACTGCACTCGCGGGCTGCCGACGGACGGGCTATCGCTGAAACCAGAAGCTGCCCTCTCGGAAATCGGCGCTTCGCTCTCGCTGCTGATTACGTTCTCAGTTTCCTCCGCCGTTTCTTCGTCAACCTCAGCTTCGACCTCGGTCGTGCCGGCCGGCTGCAGCACGTTGTTAATTCCGTCGACTTCCTGCAGTTCGTTGCTCCTCGGCTGTGCGTTACTGTGCTCCTCCTCGGTAGACACTTCCGCCGCCGATCCTTCACTAGGTGACATCGCGAAGAATAGCGTTTGAGATTCGCCGTCAGCGTCGGCAAAAAAGTTCCCCTGTCTAATCTAATCGAGACTTGTCTCGAGATGAGGAAACTCACGGAATTCGATGGGACGTCGCGGTAGTTAGAGCGAGAACTTTCCTCGCATCTTAGGAGTTTGCCTCTCAAAGTTACACACGCGTAAGAAGTTTCAAGGATCGCCGGAAATATCGAATTAGCCGCGCACATGTGTATTCGGGTAGTAATGAGAATCGATCGCGCTTGCCCGTATACTATGTACTTAGCACGAGAGGATACATCGCTTCATCTAGGAGGCTTTTAGGGCTTTGAAACTGGCGAAAGGGAGATTCAAGTACGATTTACGGTGGACACTTTACTGAATCCCTCTCCTTTACACCTATTTGTGTTTACGGCGGACAAGAAGGACGCCCGCGCGTGACTTCTGAAATGTCCTGTATACTGTGAAGGGTAACTTACGGTGAAAGGTGCCGCCGCATAGATCTGGAATGCAGGCTCTTCAGGGGCATGTGCGGGTGAGGGTAGCTCTTTTTCCGATGTTCTGTCGAGGATTTACCAAGAAAATGAATCAGATGTAAAATATAAAACATAAAATATATAAAATAAATATTAAATATATAAAATAAATATATAGTTCCTCTTTCGTCCGGAAATCTTAGTTCGTTTAACTAAATAAGGATAAGATGAAAACTCGAGGACGAGTAACAATGTTTCTGTTATCGCGATCGGAAAAATTCCTCCGCTGGATATTCCGCTTCTTTAAAAGGAGGGCATATATAGTCCTGAACAAAAATTTACCGAAATCTATTATAAAAATTGCAAACAATTCCAATATAATTTGATATAATTGTACTTTGAAATTTCACCTTGGCGAAATTCGAATTTAGTTATTATGATTTTCCGGAAAATTGTCTGAAAATTTCTGTATTTATAGATTTTGATTTCTCGAGAAAATGCATGTCCTTAAAAAACTCGTTTGAGCTAACGAATTACTTCGATTGAGAAAACAATTAACCAAATAGAAAACGATGGACATATATCGTCCTGAAAAAAAAAGATATCGAAATGTAAAAAGCAAAAGAATTTTCCGGAAAAAGTCATAATACCGAAATCTGAATGTCGCGACAATCTTCCGGTTTTATCGAAATATTGGAAATGTCGAAATAAGCAAAATATTGTCTCATTTTTATAGCCGCATGCATTAATTTATTAATACGAATACAGCAACCCAAGGAGAACAACAGGTCACGATAATATCAAAATGATGTCATTTTGACTTTAAATAGTCAATTTTTCATCAAGACTCTATATGCAGTAATGTCAAGATGATGTCATTGTGATGTCGTCGATATATATCAATACATTGGAGGCATCGATATACATGGTATGACATTGATTATAAGTTGCCAACCCGAAATGTGAAGGTAGATTGGGTTAAGATAAACATAAAAGTCCCATACCGTTTTGCGAGATTCGCAATAATTATCGAATTATTAATGACAGAAATCTGAGGAATGGGAGCGCGCCGACATAGATAATTGGAGAAGCGTTGCAGCTGCTTAGGCCGCAGCACGGCCCAGTTGATCCAGAAACTGTTGCCGGTGCGCGGCGAAGGGAAAGACAATGCGCTGCTATTCGTTGTTTTATCTCGCCTACGTCTCGCCGCACGCCGCCAACAGTTGCTGGATCGAGTGGGCCGCGCTGCGGCCTGAGTAGCTGCAACATTTTTCCAATCATTTACGCCGGCGCGCTCCCACTCCTCAGATTTCTGTTATTAATAACTCAATAATTATTGCGAATTTCGCAAAACGGTATGGGACTTTTATGTTTATCTTAACCCAATTTATCTTCACATTTCGGGTTGGCAACTTATAATCAACCACCCTGTATATCCTTTCTATCCTTCTTTATATCCTTGAAATAATAAGAATTGTTTTCATTGGCAACTGACAATTTTTATAATGACTTTTTATATTATGGACACATTTCACTTCAAAACTATTATTTGATTTATATTTGAGTTATATGGTTTTTTGATAGATGATTTGATAGATGATAGAATTTCAAGAGCAAGTAATTCTAAATTATATACAAGAACTGTCAGCAAAGATAGATTGGCAGAACATTGGGATTTCTCAAATTTTGCACGAGTTTCCCGATACCGATTGTTTTAACCGACCTGAAGAGTTCTCCTCCTTGCCACTGGCAACTGAGGAATCTTTTGCAGGCTTTGATTGTTATTTAGATAATAAAGTATTTTATGGTTATATGGTGAGTTCTCTATCACCATTCATAATGCAAGTACTATTATATGTTCATTGAGTACTTTGATTGACTTTTTCTGTGATGCAGCTTAAATATTTGTTACGAAAGGGGAAAGGAGAGACAACCTCTTTCTTCACTTACTCTATTTTGTCAATTCTACTCAGAAATAATCTGGCACGGTTCATTAGTTGGAAGGGTTGGAAGGATCAAGCTCAGTTTTGAGAAATTCAAAGTAAAAAATCTAGTAGAAGGTAAATGAATATCATATTGCTTTTTAAAAAGTTTTAAAAAATTTTAAAAGTTTTGAAAAATTTTCTAACTTTTTAACTTTGCTTTTTCCATATATAAACATGTACATAAATGTGCACATAATATATGTATATTAAACCTCTTCTTTATTTTTCTCAAATAGATGTTTGCTTGAAGAAATTTTCTAACATACAGATTTCGGTATTTGAAGATCATATGAAATGATGGTTCAATACCTCCATGCAACGATCAGACTAAATTAAGTTCTTTTTTGGGATCTGTTTACATTTTTAAAGTGCAAAATATTTGTAAGTTAAACTGGCTGTGTCTATGTTTGAGATCTTCTTTAATTCTTTAATTCTCCCAAAGTTTAATTAATAAATAGTATTTAGAGTTATTAGATTTTGAAAACTATACTGAAGTTTCTTTGTTTTTGGAAAAAGTGATACTAATAGTTTTTTCAGATTTTCTTTAATATTAATATAGTTTACTAATATAGTTTATAATTTCTTCTTTAAGAAATAATATATATTATACATACTATGTATTACAAACGCACTGTAATAAAAAATAATTATAATTATTTGTCATTGTTATCTTATCACCTATAAATTACTGATACTACTTTTGCGCAATATTGAATACAACGGTATATATTAGTCACAATGACATCAAAATGACGTCCAATTATAGTCATTTTTATTCTCGGTTTGATGTCATAGTGACTTCTGCTGTTTTGATGTTTTTTGACGTCATTTTGATATTATCATGACTTTTTGTTCTCCTTGGGAATAATGTATGCAAATGTAATGTAAATTACTACACTTGATTAATACATTTGTTTTCGAGATAATGATTTTTCTCCACAATTCTCGCACATTATAAGAAAATTGCATTTCAGGATTCATTGTCTCGATATTCGGACTCCGATATTAAAACTTTTCGGGGAATTGTCCCAATTTCCGAATTTCCAGATTTTATTTACGTAGGACAATGCATATCCCCTCCTAAAAACCTCCTAGAGGAACCTTTTCGTTCTTGCAACCAAATTTTTGTCTTCAAATAACGATCAAATCAATTACACGAACTGCATTTTTTCTTGCAACACTAAAAACAACACACTAAAAAAGTTATTTTTGAGAAATAATTAATTATCTTTTATCGTTACTCAAAAAATAAAAAAAATCGTTCCCGTTACATTCTTCACCAAGTTTTAGAAATCTTTCTTTTGGGAATTGTTTCTGTTTACATTCTATGTAATATATCCTACTTTTACAAGATAACAAGATAAAATTATTGACTGTATTCTCTCTCTCCCTCTCTCTCTCTCTTTCTCTCTCTCTCTCTCTCTCTCTCTCTCTCTCTCTCTCTCTCTCTCTCTCTCTCTCTCTCTCTCTCTCTCATTACCATCATTCCAAAAATATAATTGTGCTACCGTTAACGTGAATGAGGAAAATAACAATAATAATTCTTATTGACAAAAAAATAATGAGAAAGTAATAATAATTGTTATTGACAAAAAAATAATTTGTGACGGCGTTACGTGCAATACATTATTTCTCAACCATGGAGGAAAGTAATTTGTAACATTAACAACATTCGTAACATTACATTTCCTTTTAATACTTATTTCCCAATCTTGATCTCGCCATTTTCGATCCGAAGCAAACCCGAAGAGTCGATGACCCGAAGAGTAATATGAGAAAAATCTCGATAACACGACAGTCTCGACTTACGATTGAAGTCGCGATCGCCATATCGCGATGGCGGTCCGCGATCGCGATCTCGATCCGATCCAACAGACTCCGTAGGCGAGCCAAGCCGGGCTACGTCGAATTTTTCTCCTGCGTCCATCGCGAAGACCTTCTCCATCTCCTCATCGAGTTCCGGTCCCGTTTCCGCGCCATGCCCGTCGACCTGCGCCAAAAGATGCAAATAAATTTATATATTATATGGTATATAATCATATATTATAAATTATATACGTATCATACATCATATGTCATATCATATATTATATATCATATGTCATACATCATATATCATACAGGATGTTCCACAGGAAGTTGCTAAAACTAAACGATTAGTTTTCTCTTCGAAGACTTTAGAACGGGTCTTAAGGTTAATGGTCGTTTGCATTTTTATCGTCTGCACTTTTATTCTGGTTGTGGTAAAAGCAAGAAGGAAAGGTCTATCTATCGAGTACTTCTTTTCTAAAGGAAAAGTATATTGTAGTGCATATAGGAGGTTTCGTATTAAATACGAGACATATAAAATTACGAGCAAAAATACACTAAAAAGATTAGAATTCATTAATTATTTAAACTTAGATTACGTCCTTCCAACAGAATTCATTAATTATTTATTAGAATTCATTATTAGAATTATTAGAATTCATTATTAGAATTATTAGAATTCATTAATTATTTAAACTTAGATTACGTCATTCCAATTTTTGGTAGTAAATCTCCATTAAAATAATTTCTGTGTTGTTTTTAACAGAATTATCAATAATTTAATATCCAAAACCGTAGGCACGATCTACCAGGTCCTTCTGTGTCTGTAGCCATAGAAGAAAATATTGAAGGAATTAAAAATTATTTTGGACAAAATCCAAATGCTTCCAGTCGGAAAGCTGCTCTTCAAGCTCTTCAAATAACAAAAACGATACACAGGATTTTAAAACATTTCCTCAACATGCATCCGTATAAAATAATATCTCATCAACTGCTAATCAATCGCATTATGAAACGTATGGAATTTTGCAAAACAATAAATGGAATGTTTGAAGATGGAAATCTTGATGAAAAATTAATAATTTGCACGGACGATGCATATTTCTGACTAAAGGCTTATGTGAATAAGCAAAATTATCGATTTTGGAAGTCAGAAAATCCTTAAAGGCAATTATTATGCCGTAAATTCAAAAACAGTACCAAATTTATTAGCAGTTATTAAAAACGTCGTCGATAATATTAAAGACGACATGTTAGAAAAAGTTTTTACGAGTTTCCGTAAAAAGAAATTGAATATTATACAAATTCAGACGGTGCGCACTTTGAAAATGTGTTATTAATAGCTTATTCGATCATTAGCATGTTTTTCATAATTTTTTATTAACAAAATTAATTGATACACTAACGTCTTGTTTTTTTAATTTTATTTATACTCATTAAAAACTGCAGAATTTCCTCTTTTGAGTGCAATCTTTGTTTTCACAATAACTGAATACATTCGAAAATGATAGCTGATTAATTTCAGCAATTTCTTATAGGACACCCTGTATATCATATATCATGTATCATATATTATGTATCACATATCATATATGATGTATCATATATTATGTATCATATGTCATATATCATGTGTCATATATCATATATCATATTATATGTTAAACACAATATAACATTCCATATAATATTCATCTTGTTACGTCATTTGAATTTAAATAATCCATAAACTTATATACACAGTTTGAATTCTCTTGTAAAGGGTGTCCCAAAATTCACGCAAGATTTGAATTTTGCGCCATTTGTGCGGTAAAGTGCTGCCAACGAAAAAAAAAGACAGCGTGTCAGCTGACAGTTCAGGGTTTTTAAAATAGAGTGTTACACGAAAGAACAACGCGTTTTCATTGTTTATTTCAACAACAACAAGTGGATGCTGATTTTTCGAACAAAATCATCTTCAGCGATGAGGTTCATTTTCATCTTGATGGCTTGGTTAATCGACAAAATTGTCGCGTTTGGGGTTTAGAAAATTCACGAGTGATTGTTGAGAAACAAATGCATCCACAACGTGTCACTGTTTGGTGCGGATTTTGGGCTGGAGGCACTCATCGGACCATTCTTCTTCGAAAATGCGGCTGGTCAGGCAATAACAGTTAATGGTGCTCGCTATCGCGACATGATAATCCAGTTTTTTGTGCCTAAATTGCAAGATATGGATGTGGACGACATGTGGTTTCAACAAGACGGTGCCACATGCCATACAGCCCGAGAAACAATTCAATTACTGCATGAATCATTTCCTGGTCGTGTAATTTCCCGTTTTGGTGATCAGATTTGGCCGCCCAGATCATGCGATTTAACGCCGTTGGACTTTTTTCTTTGGAGTTTTTTGAAGTCTAAGGTTTATGCCAACAAACCCACGACCACCCTTGACCCACGCCTTAAAGGAGGAAATTGAGCGCTGTATCAACGAAATTCAGCCACATTTATGCAAAACGGTCATGGAAAATTTCAACAAAAGAGTGCATATGTGCCAGCAAAGCCGTGGAGGCTATTTACCCGATATGCTATTCCATACATAACTCTATACTGTATACTTTATGAATCAATAAAAAATTTACAATTTTTAATTATAAACCTGTGTTTTCTATCAAAATTACTTCTCGCGTGAATTTTGGGACACCCTTTAAAAGGTTGAAGACAAAATGTGAAAAATAGCTACATTCCTTTATAATTTTCCGTGGGAATGTTATTATCGCCTAGCTTTCTTCAATAGGAGTCAAGATAAAGATCAGATGCTTGTGGCACAAGAGTCCTTTTTGGCTGAAGCCTCTCGGAGAGGAACTCTCACTCTCTGTACATTAGAGTACTGTGCGATAAGCAAGTGCATCGTAGAAAAGTCATGCGCCATTTACTCTCTAAAATTCCCAAAAGTTCTCCGCACTCTTAACTGAACCCGAAGAGGTCGTTCAAATTGTTTTATAAAACCCGATATAAAATCTGATATATTCTTTACTGAAACGCATTGTTTATAACTGGTGATTCAGTTATAAGCACCGCGTAAAATCTCTCTGAAAGAACCAGTTAACAACACCGAGAATTCCCATTATCGATGCAATTTGCAAAACATAAACAGTGTCATCGCGCGTAAAGTGAGTAAAGTGAGGGAGCAATTAATTCTGCAGCGTCAAACGCTGCAAATGCGCAAAGTTGGCTCTGGTCACGAATTTATATGCGATGTTCAGCCGAAAGGTTGTCCGTAATTTTCTACGCGAATTTCCGAGCACGTCCGCCCTGCTGAACTCTCCCGTTAGAAAACAATCAGGCAAGATGGATACGTTCCAAAACTCACACGAAAGATTACGGGCGACTTTTCTGCGCCCACTGCTGCAGACGTTTCTGTGGAATCTTGCTTCCACTGAACAAAGTCAGTGGGATAAGTAAAACGGAGCGCTAAAGCGGAAGTGTTTCTGCTGAAAATCAGCGAACACTCATTTATTATCGGCGAAACACTTCTTTTAGCGATTCGATCAAAGAGACGTTATTATCGATTCGCTTTAACAGAGCACGACATTAATTCTCAGTAAGGGAGACGAGGACATCACTCGTTCTTCAGCGCAAAGGAATTCGCGTTGAGCCAATGCTGTACATCACGAGATATCGCAAGGAGAGAAACGTTCGCTCTTGTCCTTTGTTTCCTCACCGTGCAGATTTCTTGATTGATACGAACAGATGGACAGTCAGAGACAGAAGCGAGAAAATACATTCAAATATTCAAATTCCCAAAATTCAATCACCGACAGCACCTATTCAGATTTATATTTTTATTTTAACTTTTATATTTTTATATTATAATATTTTTATATATATTTTAATTTTAATTTTTTTCCCGCTATATGGTGGTTTGAAAGTATTAAGTCTAAGCTTTAAGACGCACTATAATAGTTGGCAATCCTGCTAACATAACCTCAAAAAACAATAGAAAGCGATGTCGTTCGCAATATTTAAGGCACTGTCTCCTTTTCACATTTCAATTGAAAACAATTCAATGTTGCAGAGACTAAAGAAATGATTTGTTCGGCTTAAGGCGAAAACGCTGATTCCTACAGTTCATGTAAGAAGTGGTTCCAAAGGTTTAAGAATGGAAATTTGGATCTCAAGGACGAAGAACGCCCGAGGCAACCAAAAAAGTTTGAAGACGAAAAACTCGAAGAAGTTTTGGAGGAAAACTCCTATCGCACGCAGGCAGAACTTGCAGATTTATTTGGAGTAACCCGACAAGCCATTTCCAAATGCTTACATAAGCTGAGGAAGATCCAAAAGGAGAGCCGTTGGATTCTGCATGAACTCATTCCTGAAAACAAGAGCAAATATTGCTACTCAGGTTTAAAAAGAAGCACCTTTTGCACAAGATAGTGATCTGTGATGAAAAATGGATATTTTATGACAATCCGAAGAGGCGAGAATCTTGGGTTTACCCGATCAACTAGCACAGCAAACCAACCACCAATCAGCACAGCAAAACTAAACATTCATGCAAAAAAGTTTTGCTGTAGATTTAGTGGGACCGGAAGGGCGTTGTTCACTATGAGTTGCTCAAACTCGGCCAAACTGGCACCGCTGAACGTTATCAGCAGCAACTAATTCGAACAAATGACGCACTTGAGAAGAAAAGGCCTTTTACCGACAATGGAAGAAGAAAAGTAATTTCGCTGTAGGACAACGTGCGGTCATACGCAGCAAAAATAACACTGGAAACTATCTCCGCTCTGGGCTGGGAAATTCTCCCTCACGTGGAATATTTTCCAGAGCCCGTCCCTTCGGATTACCATCTCTTTAAATCTCCGCAACATCACATGGCTGATTTACACTTTGCATCAGTTGAAGATGTTGAAAAAAAGCATCGTTGAGTTTATCGACTCAAAACAGCCATCTTTTATTCGAAATGGAACTTGATAGTTGTCTAAAAGATGACGGAAATGTATAGAAAGTGAGCGGGATTACTTTGAAGATTAGGTAACTATTCGTTTTTTTATAAACAAACATCAAAATCTTGTAAAAAGGGCCAAGAACCCACAGGATTGTCAAAAAATAATTTTTCTTATTGTACGATCATTAGGAATGTTAAAAACAATCATTAGGTGAGAAGAAATCTTGATTCCTAAAGCCAAAATTAATTGT